TCAAGAATGCTCAGTATCCGAGAATCTGGGTCTTCAAGCAGTTGGTGTGCTTGGTGATAAACACATTGTGTTTTCAATGAAGAGCAAAAGTTATTTCTTGCAATGAATGCGCTAAATAGAATTTGGAACAGAATTGATGATCACATGTACAGGTACCTCAAATATGTCATCTCCTAAACAACATTTCTTGATATTATTCTATGAAAGACCCTCTCTACAATGATTCAGAAGTGGGTGCGTTTGGTTTTACGCCGCTTTAAGCAATATTCCATCAATATCACGGCGGGGGACACCAGAAATTGGCTTCACATATTGTACCCATGTCGGGAATCGAACCCGGGTCTTCGGCGTGACGAGCGAGCGCTTTAACCACTAGGCTACCCGACTGCCCCTAATGATTCAGAAAGAAGTGTGTTCTTTGAAAATTAGCTTCATAGGTGATGCGGCCGTCACATCACGTACATTAATCATAGGGTGGCTATTGTGATTTCAAACCTCCAACTGAAAACCAGAATCACGTATTTCCCAAAATCATACACATGCAGGCAAAACAAAAACGACACTCATACTCATGATTGCTAGAGAGGGAAAATGATTCCAGGCATGGATATCATTGTGAATTACATTGTACATTTTCAAAGTAAAAGTACAGACGCACCTTTTGGAAGGAATTCTATCACGTCGTGTTTTATCCTTTCCATCCTCTGGAAGAAAAATGCAAATATCAGTGCGCGAGTGTGTTGGGGAGGGCAGACCTGCAGATGTTACATTCTCAGATAAAATTGGATCATGAATAATTGTAATTGACCTCATATCATCTTGAGTGGTTACAACTCTATTACAATTATTACCTTCGACTGAGCGACGTCTTTTCAAGACACATGCTGCTACGACGATGACAAGAGCGATGACAGCAACACCTCCTCCAGCTGCTCCAGCTGCGATGGCAGTAATGTAATTCTGACCTGAACGCATGAATTCATGAATGGGTGATATAAATGACATTCGTATAGATACGTATAGATATTCGACCTATGTCAGGGTGGCCGTCACAACAACCAGTACACGGAGCACAACCAGGTCCCACTTGCCCAAAGCGATTGTACCGCTACGGCTCTCGTGACTCCCACACTGCAATGTAGACATACAAAAGTAGTTTTCTGTAAGTGGGTCCAGGTCAAAGCTGGCAGCTTGTCAACATGTTGCATTATGATGTAATTAAAAACATCGATGTTAAATAGAAAATGGTACGTAATCTCAAAGTATATTTTCCCCATTTCAGTGACACAAGTGTCGATACGGTAGTCCACAAGACAAGGGTTTGATTTAAAATCGTTATTTTGTGTACAAAGGGAAATTGTAAGGAAATAATGAATAAGATTTATGTAATGTTTATTAGACCATATTTTGAATATGCATTTGAAGTTTGGGACGGTTGTACCAAAGAACAGAGTGACAGATTAGAAAAACTCCACCAAGATTTGTAACTGGTTTATAAACCTATACTTCCGTCAAAATTATGTATTTCGAAACTTCCTCGGAGCCCTTATCAGAGCGTAGGAGAAAACGTAAATTGTGTTTATTTTATCAAATATACAACAATATGACACCTTCACACCTTAAAGATCTCACTCTGTCGGGACAAACGTAAAATAAAACCTTATAACTGCACACAATATAACTTTGCCTTTATTATGGAAAAAGTTATCTGAATCCTCGTTTATATCATCCGCTGTCCAATTGTGGAATACATTACCTATACAGGAAAGGAAATTTAAACCTTCTCTCGAATTAAATCCAGTTTAAGAACAAATAAATCTACAGTTCCATCATATGTCTCATATGGTCTAAGGAAACGTAACATTATACATACAAAAATTAGGATATGCCACATGCATAAATATACATACGGTTTAGGGGATCTGAACATAATACACAATACATCACCTGTTGACTTGGGCAGAGATTTATCCTCGGTTGTCGTAGTTATGACTGGAGTCGAAAGTATTGATGTTGTAGCAGGCCTCGATTGAAGTTTGGATACATCTGAAGCAAGCAATATTATGAATTGGATTATTCCTTGATGGCTGCACAGAAGCGACAATTCTTTCATTTATATTATCATTGTGACCGGTCATGATCTCGTGGTGACATATTTGATATCAAAAGACACTCGGGTTAGATTCTCTATATATCAAACAATAGTTGCGTTTATTTTTCAATGTGGTGCTGATCAGATATTATTGAATACTGGAAGGCACATTGTCACTGTCTCGCCATCTCTGCATTTGGCAAACAGAAAAAAATGTAACACTGCAATAATCGTTGGAACGTGAAATCGAGCCTTTTCTGACGAAACTGTTGTTCCCTTTTTAAAGCGCGCAAGATTGTGACATCTGTACACTGTAACACAATTTGCCATTCTAGACCTGTCAAATAATGTTTTTATCAGGATATCTCTTTTGCGCGTTTTTGCATTCTTCTTTGCGCTTACGTAGTTTTTTAAATGTGAACAAAACACAATTATTTAGCTATACGATGCTCATAACACCTTTTCCTTTGCCCGTAAATAACTTTTTCGCAGTGCCACCACTTAAAGAAAATCAACGTCTACCCTTGTTTCGCAAAACGAAGTAACAGGCATGTTATGTTTATCGAAACACAATATCGTCTCTATCTAAAGCAGGGAAACAATCAATAATTGTTTAGTTGTCAAGTGCTCACAGCAACATTATGCTTTAACCGTAAGTAACGCTTGCGCAATGGCACGGTTTGCTGAATATCAACGTCTCCAATCCGTAGGTGTGCTGCAAACAGAAATGGCGTAAGACGGAGTTGCTCAACATTTTAATGTTCATAAGAACACGATGGCCCTTATCTACAGCAGGCCAACACTCGTGACTTGTCACAGGCCGGTCGTCCATATGTGACGTCACATTAACAAGACAACCATATTCGGTTGGTGCATCTACGGAATCGTTACCACACTGCCATATTAACAGCTCTGGTAATTCCGGGGTTAAGACCAATTAGTGACAGAACCGTACGCAACCGGTTTGGGAGATTGCAACAACCAACTCCGAGGTTCAGCGATACGCCCAATTTTGCTTACACGTCACCGTCAGGCACATCTAGCATGGTTTAGACAGTGTCTAAAGTTCGGAAGGCAAGACTGGAAGAATATACGGTTCAGTTATGAGTCAATTTGTCAGCTGGACAGTTCCGGTGGCCATGCAAAGGTCTACATCCGTTTAGCGACGCTTCCGTTCATTAATGTCATCAGTTGTTTTTGAAGTGGCTCATGGAGGAACTCATGGGAGAACGCAACTCATCATTGTTTATTACCTTTGAGTTACAAACAGTGATATAAAAAAATAATATAAGAATTGACTTTCACGTTGTGTGAGTTCATTGGAGTATAAAACTTAATAGATCCAAACATCCGACGATCATACAGCTTGGCCCTCAGTCTATGAAGGGCACGACGTGAAAGTCAATTCTTATATTTTTAATATCGCTATTTGTACCTCAAAGGACATAGACCTTGATCAATACACAAGTATATTTAGTACGTGTGACTCTATGTCTACACTGACAGCCATACAACAACCAGATGTATCGCGGAATTATGTAGTTCCTCAAAATAAGAGGTGACATGAGCTTATGTATGCTCAAACATGCTCAACAGGGACAACTTTTGCAGTTTCTGTAAACAAATGTACTCAAATAATATCCTCATTAGATAAGAAAGGTATGTTAAGAACTACCTCATTTCGTAAGTCACAACGACAGCGCGTCATAATACATTCACATCAAGTACAAGACTTCAAAATGTCCGACACGATAAACGTGACGGGAGCGATTTCGGAAGTTGCTAATAAACCTGTGGCGGTTACAGGTTTTAGTCATCAATGATCAACTGGCCGATCATTGGCAGGTGATTAAAGATGTGTCATATCTATGTGACACTCAGGTAAATTCGCATATTGCTGTAGACTGTCAGCCGAGACACGGATCGACTCGATCTACTATAGTTTTCAAGTGCATTTCTTCGGTTTGTTCACTAGGATGGATCGCAGCAACGATATTCGTGAACTTGAGTGCAGTCAAACTCTTTGACGTTTCTCAATGTATACTGAAACGCCGAGTTCAAGATTAAAGGGTCTAAATGTTCAGAAAGAACGCTTCTGTACGTATTCGCACGAGGGAAATCCCAGGGGTTTCCCCGGGAATGTGGAAGTAGTCCGTCAGTGCACGTGTTAACGTCATTTCAACAACACGGTCCGTGATAAACGTATGAACATCAAATTGTGTAGTTCATACACTTATTAACGACATTTTGGCGGTCATAAGACCGACATCTCGTCCAGTGGAAAAGCCGCATATTGTGTAAACATCAAATTAAAAAAATGTTACAATGTGAATGGAGCACGCCTCTGGCTCGACATAGTTCGAGATCATGTGCTCCCTTTGTGCAAAAGCAGGAGCGTAACGTCACGTTGAAGCAGGATAATGCCCGCCCACACGTTAAACATGATGTAACCCAATTTTTTTAGGCAGAACATATGGCATTACTGTACTGCCATGGCCTATTGTTTCTGAAGACCTCTCCCCTATAAAACTTGTCTGGGATGAGAGTGAAAGATGCCCGCGACAGGGCCAGAACCAGCTAGCTCAGTTGGGCCAATCTTTGGTTGACATTTTAAACAATATCCCAAGGCTGTTTTCAATCACCTGCGGCCCCTGTGTCAACGCAAATGGTGGTTACGCTCGATACTGACATTGTTAATTGAGTTGTTATATCACCCTTCTTTAAGGGTGCGTCGTTCTGTCTCCTGTTACCAGGTATGGGTTTTGTCGATGATTGTGTAATGATAAAACATTGATCAGACGAATGACCAAATATGATGTTCTTATTTACAAAAAAAATAACATCTACATCTTTTGGTATGAAGCACATTTTCTTTTTCCTATATTGACGCCCCCCTCAATCATACCCACAACTCGCAATTTGTCTGTTCATTGAGATACTGTCTCGGAGGCATTTAAAGCGTGTGCTTAGCTCAATTGCATTAGTAATTGTGAACGAAAGGCGCGCACACTTTGGCTTCTGTGTGCACATGCATCACGTGCTGTTCATGGTTGATGTGTAAGTATACTCTAATGTCACGTTTTACTTGCCAGATGTAGTAAATGCAGAAGCAAGTACAGCAGCATCATCGCCCGTCACATCAATGACAAGAACTACAAGTCATGGAGCATCTCCGTCAGCGTCAAGTGAAAGTAGAACTTCTGTCAGCAAAGGTAATGCTACTGTAAAAATAATGCTTTTTTTCTTATCTACTTGACAATTTAAGAGAGCTCTATAATCGATTGACTTGGTACCAGCAGTATCCAATATTAATGCCGGTCAGTTATCTCATCCCTACACTACCGCAGGCTTGTATTTTTTCTATAACAGTAATGTAACTATGCTCATTGCAGGTTGCTTTTTACCACTTTGATCAGTTTAGGGAAATAAGTGTAGCATGAATACGCTACCAACCAAAAGTCCTTTTCTTTAATTTCACAAAATGTCCGATGAAACATTATACAGAACGGGGTCCTCCAATTTGTCAAACACCCAGTTGTCAGACAGTGGAATATATTTTAACTGCCTCGCATCTCTTTACTCATAATGATATGATCCAGACACTGGCTATCTTTTTAAAGTTTTAAACGGCTCAGTTAAACTGTAAATATGTTGTTTTCACTGAAATTTGTGATATGGTGCTTAAAATACAACCCGGGTCGTCGTAGTAAAAATATATTATATTCCATAATAGAACCAATAGAATGTTCACCCATAACTGGCTTCCACGGGAGATAACGTTTGGATCACGCGATATTGCCTTCGAGATACCGCTTCAATGAAATTTCATCCGAATGCTTTACAGACCACGTGACGTCATCAGTTACTATAACGTTACAATAGTATATAACAGTACTAAACTCTCTGAGACTGAAGCTGGTTACCTGTACCTTTTATTCAGTCAAGACTCTGGATACTGTCGTTTACGAACTGAAAAAAACGGAGAAATGATTGTGGATGATATCAGAATATCACCTGCGTTTTTGTTGATGTCAACTGTATCACCACAAGTCGATAAAACTCCAATACAACTCGTTTTAATACGTTTCGTTTTAAAAGACCCGAGAGTTATGTTCTCCATTTATATTGCTTCGTCAGGTAAGGTGAGGCGAAATGGCTTTTAACGTCGCGTCCAACACAGTTGCAGTTTATATAGTGACATGCATGCAAGTGTGTGTGTCTGCTTGAACTAGTCGGGACTCATGCAGATTTTACAGTGCTAGCCCAATGACATACCATGCCGACCTCGGAAGTTATGTTTTAAATGCTTAAAACTAGGATCTACAATTATCCGTTTTTAATGCTGCATAGTATATCATCGCACACACCTTTGTATATGTTCCAAATAAGTCACCATGTTTATATAATATGAAGTATATCATTACATGATATTTCCTTATACAGATGCAGATAATCAAGTTGCCTACATCGCTGCTGGTGTTGGGGGATTTGCCGCAGTCGTCATTGTTGTCGTCGTCAGTGTTCTGTGTATCAGACGAAGGAGAGGACGTCCTGTGAATAACGGTAAAGCAACCACTAAACCTACTTTATACCTCGGTCTTATGATACGACCTGCAGTTTGCGTCAGAACAATACGGATGGGTGTATAATAAACAGATTGGGTGTGATAACAACACACTATAATTGTTCGAGTTAATCGTCAATTGACATTTTCTTACAAACGCAACGCTACAACCCATACAGCTTGCTTTTGTTACAGGCAGTGCACATGAACACAAGCACGAGGCATCACATACCTACTACAATGAGTAAGTAAACTCTTGTATAAAATGCGTTCATGACGATTCAAAAACATGTGCTTATGACATAGTGGGAATCGAGTATGAAAACGTTTAAGGGTTTTGTCGTTTGTTACGTCGAAGTGAGATTTCATAATTTACAAAACACAAATTTATTTTATCAAAATGTACACATATTAATGCAACGTTTAGTTCTTATTGAATGTCAGTAGATATTCTGGTTTCATTCCTGTTTTAGATAAATGATATCTGTAAATGTATTTGTTTCAGAAATCGCGTCTTACAAGACCAAGACATTAACGACAAAGTTCAAGGTAAGATCATTGGATTGTGTGATGCTTTAATAATAGTATGTTTATGGATGTGTGCCATGTTATGTATTAGCACACAGGTCACAAATCAGGCTCACGTTGGGGTGGTGGAGATTGGATGTCTGAGTACTTCCGCTCATCAAACTTGACAGCTGGTCCTGTCACACACTGTCATACACAGGTGTCTTCCGGAATGGGCCCCTGTTTTACATTAGCAACTGGGTACCCAGTAGGATGAGATGGATACATGAATGTAGAATCTCAGAGCGCCTTCGGGCAGGGTTGGTTGTATATTTTCCAAGAACTTTAAATACAAATTGAATATTGACTCGTCCGTTGACACGAGTACTACGAGCAGGCTTCATGTGGAGTTTGCGATATACAAAGTGTACATTTTATTGTTGTTGTTTTTATATAATGGAAGTGGATATCCACGTGCAACATTTTGTCTTGTTTATTACAGTGGAAAATGACGTTTATGAGACTTCACATGACGTCACTTCACCCAACCAGCCTTCAACAAATGATCACGTGATAACAGGTTAGGAATTTCGCTATCTCTGTATACCATCTCGCCAGCTTGCGATCCATTGATATCGTTTAAAGAAACAACAACGCTTTCAATTCATTTGTACATTGGAAACCTAAAACGTCAATCTTAACTTAAAACAACCTAAATTACAACAGCAGAATAATAATTCAAAGCAGGATCACCTCTATTCTACCGTTGTAGATGCTGCACTGTTGTTGTAGTCATGTTTGGACTTTGGTAGGAACGTCCATGTGGGGTGAATATATTGCACCATGGTCACAGAAAGAACCATACCAACTGATGAACATTGTCAATTCAACTTTATGTAATTATTGATAATCACGTTTTCCATGATTTTAAATCTCTGTTTCGCACATACGATATAAAGTAGGCACGCCCAGCAATCGATTTGTGTATATCAGTCAGTCACACCAGCTTGAAATATACAAAAGGGAGGCCATGTATCACATCTTCTGAATACTGCTTGTGGCCTTATGTAGACTTCAAGTCAGATGTTTGAACGTTATCTATGTAATTTTGTTGAGATACCCTTTAATTAAAGTCCTGAATGTGGGATGTTACTGTTAGTGTTGTACTGACATGTTCCTGTTCCCGCAGCATGGGACTGGAGACTAGCAGTTCTAGATTACAGTAATAGATTAAAGTAAAGGGCACATTAACTACGTGATTGTTGTTTCTTTATTTAAAGTATAAATAAAGTATTATTTTCCACCAGATGTTTATGCCCAAGTGCAGAAACCAAAGAAAAATGCGCCGAAACCTACAGGTACAGCTGACGACATCAACATTGAAGATCTATCTGCCAAACCTGACAAAACTAAGACCCGGAAGAAGCAGGAAGACTAATGTAAGTATTCTGTGGAATTATCAAGAAATGTTATTGATAAAATAAACAAACGACACCCTGTCACAACATGGTCATCGTATTAGAATGTGACATGAGATTGTTCATATTTATCCAGATGATTTATAAGGATACTGTGTGGCAAGTGATACTTTTCGTTTTATTTCAGAGAGGCTGGAAAAGGGGCATCCTTTGGTGATGAGAAATGGACTGTTAAATGAAATGTCAGAATTCTGAAAAAGGAGATGTACTGTACATATGCGATGACACATCTTTGTGAAATAGTATCATACTCTCTTCAGCAGTATGATTGGTACAGTGTTCTCATTATAAACGTTGATTGTGTATAGAATATATAAATCAAATTTCAATACCAGAGAATAACCAATCTCGCTTTCCCAATAACGCATATTGCATTGCGCGAAAATGACAGTGCAGCTGTGAACATGTATGAATGGATAATTACTAATCCGTGATGACACCAGGTGTTCGCGAAAAGGATAAGCATGGGCTGCCCTACCGGTATTACCCACCTTTCTCGCAACTTGCACCAAAATGTAAGTGTTTGTTGTATCACAACAAGAATGTATCTAAATCTTCATTCTTAGACGCTTTAATGTACTCAGGGTTACAGGGTCCACGTATGCAACAGCTATCTGTTTACTCCAAGATCCCCTGCTCCAGCTTGTAACTCATCACTTGTTGCCAAACTTGTCATACAGTCACGAACATGATTTGTGCCCTTTTACATTTTTATGATTTATTGTTAAATTTACATTTAATGCAGATTCAAACTGGCTATTTTCCACATTTGTTCAGGAAATTTCTTTCTGTGAAATGATAAAAAGGATCCCATGTTCATGTACGTCCTTGTGAATTAGTGACGGAAGAAGTGAGTGTATGAAACCCACGAGCATTGGTATGGTGCTAAGAAATCAAGCGTCGTTAACTCTGCATCGCGAAACGGGGAATCTAACGCCAGTTTTGTATCCATGCCCCAGTGATTTTTTCAGGGCTTTTGTATGAATTCCTATCTCAGGATGGCAGTTAATAATATGAACAAACACAGTTGAAATTGACCATATTGTAAATTCGACCTGTATTGTCATTATGTTAAAACAAGGATTATAAATGATGACATCACTTTAACGGTGACAGATCTGTTTTTTGGTAAAAATGGTGTCACAAATTCTTTGGTGTCCATATACAGTTATTGTGTCCGTAGGCAACACATCATGACCCATTTCCTAGTTTCATTTATGAAGTTTTTACTCCATGAAATAATCAATCGCATCGCCACTCATAACACAGGGGTGTTTAACGTCTTACCAGTTATTACGAAAAACAATTGTTTTATATATGAGAAGGTCGATGATTATTTATATGTAATGTCACAAACACAGGCAATATCCCGAACACTACCAACGGCATGGTTTGGGAGTGACAAAATTGATTTAATATTAAATACACTTCCTTTCCTAATGCTAAATCTTTTGTCAGTAACAGTTATCTGTTAATGATAAACTAACTTCCTTATTTGTATAATATCTAATGAAACCAAATAGATTATACAACTACTTTCATTTTATTTAGATCGCTTATGTAGATAAAAGTGAGGTAAAGTTCGACACGCCATCTTACAATCAGCTGATTTATGTTTATTTTGTAAAATGAAATGCATATGCATGACACTTTCCTCATATTCCGTTATTTCGGTTGTTTATCCATGTTATCTCTCACCTGAGCCTGGTGTGTACCAGGCTGGTACTGACATGTACAATATGAGTCATATGAGTAATAAGTATATTGTCATCCGTCAACTTCTAAGTAATGCCTATCAAACACAAAAACAAAATAGTATCCCCGTGTCTAATGTATTGTCACTTTTCCCCCACCACATGTGACTATCACTATAAAGTGTATACGTCTATCCCTTTCGAATCAATTCCAGGTGTTTTTATGCCATAACTAGTCAGTATATGCTGACATCCATGTGAATTAACGCCCGTACACAACAGATATGGAAGTGTTGTGTACTCCTCTGACTTGTACATTTCCATGTTGTGCAGCAAATCCTTGACATTTCTGATCACTCAAACTTTGATATCTGTCAGTAACGTATATATGTGTGCTTGATAAACATTCATGTTTTCTCAATTCAGGCGTGTACAAGAACAGCTTGTATTACATGGCTATTCGTGAACACAGCATATCGTTCTTTGGTCGCCACCCGCAGCAATGCATAGCCTACAGACAGGCAGTATATGTTACCCTGGTATTTGTGTAACATTAGCCTGTTTTTGAAAGTGGTGTATATTTAGACAGCCGTTCCCTGCTGAATATCACTTCCTGGTCAGGGAAACACCAACTTGTTCAACCTGTTTCTGAATGTGTTGACAGGACTACAGGTGAGCTGAGTAAATAGGGATGATTTGAAAAACAAATCGTTTTGACTCTGGCAGTAACTGTATGTCCCTCGTGGGACACACAAAGTTTGTTATATAGAGTTACTTCCCCTAGACCGCCCACCTAAAACGTCGTAGACTAATATATAGTCCCAGAATTAAAGTTATCTTATTAGAAAATACATATCTACACAACAAAAATAATGATTTAAAACAGAGCCCAGAACAATCCGTATCTAGACTTGCCAAAATTAATCATTCAAGAGCTTGAGTTGGACTTATATATTCTCTTGGGTCTTGGAGACAATAAACTTCAATGTATCACACACCAAGCAAATCTGAAATATGGAGGATGCGGTATCAGTGGGAATATCAACAATATTTATAAATAAAGAGGATAACCAAGTGAGCAAGTGATAATGCATTTGAAGAATATATTTGTTTTTTGATTGATTTATATATGTAAGTTTATACTGTAAAGTCGTCATTGAATAAACATTTGTCAATCACGGTGCACGTTTAGTAATCATTTTCGCTTAAAGTGAGGTGCACACTATATTACAGAACACCAACGCTTTCTCAGGGAACGGCCTTGAAAACACTTGTGATTACCAGTAGAACATAGGGATATTCTCTGAAACACACATGTGTGTGAGTTGTTATGACATTTTACCATGTTACCACGTATACTTTCTCGCTTTTAATTTTCAAATACTATCAAAGTGGTATTATTTTCAGTCCAATTAGAAGAATTCTATCTTTGCATACCAAGACATCGAACCTTCATGTACATATCTGAATAATACATGAAAAAGACTGATAATTAAATATGCAGAGAGATTATGAAGGCGAATATTGACATGTCCATCCTTCAGAGTGAGAAAGTATATTTTATGTGTGCACTAATATTTGACGGTCATTCGCGAGTTACCCTTATATAAATGCATTTGAGCGTGAAACAGCTTATCATTAATAAGTGTGTCAGCGAGGGAATGAATTGGATTTTAAGCAGCATATATCACTATTTCTTACTTTGTCACGACTGTTGATACCGGCATGGGTGATAACAATTGAATTAACGAGATCATATTAATATAAAGAAATCCAATTGTCCTGTTTACGTCGATAAAGAATGCCTGACGGTCCGAACACATTGACGAAGCGCAGCGAGTCAGTCCAACATAATGTTGAACCCATATTAAAGCAGCCAAAACAAAAAGACAATACATGTTAGAGAGAACTCAGTTTTATGTATGATGTTTACATCACCATGAATTCAGGTAACAATACCATGAACAGAAAACTCCGGGAAGGCGAGGTGAGTTGAAATAGGGTTAGAAGTCACGTTCAAGATTATTGTACTTATACAGCGACGTGCATGCACGTCTGTGTGTATGCCTGCTTGTACTAGTTGGGATACAATGACATGCATCAACCAGTCAGCGAGCCTGACCACGCGACCCCGTTAGTCGCCTCTTACAAAACAGCATTGTCGCCTTTACGGCAAGTATCAGTTGCTGAAGACCTATTCTATCCCGGATCTTCACGTGTTACCTTTACAGGAGACAACAACAAAAGTGAAGAGAAACGAAAAGATGTTTGGTTCATGAGATCCACGAAGGAGATCGGAGTTTGGGGAGTACTTTAGATGAAAGAAGTAGAATTTGACAACGATAGATTCGTTGCGTTCTTTCGAATGACCTGAGGTCAGTGTGATGAAATGTTTGGAATGATCGATCATGTCATTTCCAAAAGGTATAAAAACTGCAGAGGGAGTATATCTCCCAATGGAATTGACGTCACAAGTATGGGTTTCCCCTGTGCGTTGAAGCAGCAAACAGCAAAACAGTCATAACATTCGTTTAGCGTTGCAATATACACACATGCCCAATGAGCTTAAATGACAACAGAGGAATGATGTAGAGATCGCCGTTTTTTAGCCGGAATATTGCAGAGTGCGTTAAACAATGAACACACACAAACACTATCAGAATGATTGCTGAATAATACTTTTCACATCACAGAACACAAATGTTGTGTGTTTTCACATCACATGACATCTCATTCTGTCCACAGCTTATTTTGCCTACATTTAAAAAAGCTGATCAACCTCCCAGTTAAGTGAGACAAACAAATTATTAGGTTATGTGGTTTTTAATCTCATCTTTCATTTCCATTGCATTCATATTATTATCATACACGATATCACGTCATAAGTTATTATACACTTATGTCCATGTGTGTCAAAACCTTTATTTGTAATGCATTCATAAAACTTTATTTATGACACCATATCATTATTATATATATGTAGATCTGTAAACATGATCTCACATCACAAGTACACCCATGTACAGATGCCATCTTGTGCTCAGGCGTCCCTTACACTCAGGAAACACAATATTCCAAAAAGTAGCACTCTGACACCGTACAGTCAGTCTTCATGAAGACCACCATGTTGGCCAGCAGCCTGTGAAGTTATACATTCCACTTTCTGTTGTTTCGTGTCGATTTCCAAATCAAATCAATATGTTAACCAAGGAAACCGCATGTCAGTCTCAAAGGCACAAATACAGTGGTGATATCAAAACTCAACGATACTATTGTATATTCATCCAGCAGCGACAGTGATCAAGCTTCCTTGTTGGGCTAGGCAGGCAATTAGGGATGATGAGCGGTCCTCACGTGAAAGCTGACTCCAAAACAATGAAATCCAGACATATCTTGGCTTAAGAGACATTACCTATTTATTACAATATGTACGGTAAAAGACTATTTACTATGATATAATCGCTATAACATGACGTAGGACAATAAACAATGCATGTATCATATGAATTATTGTCGTCCAAGAAAAATGTTTCTTATGGTAGATACAACACATTTGATGCGCTCAGGATTATTTTCAGATGACAATTTTGTGAGTAGAAGTTTAGGCCCTGTTGACTTGTAACAAATTAAATTAATGTTGTATATTAGGTCCTTATAAAAATCATTCTCTGAAAGGAAATGAACTGTAAAGGGGGTGTGTGTGTGTGTGTGTGCGTGTGTATGGGGGGGGGGGGGGGGGGGGGTATACTGTGCCGACATGTCTCCACATGAAGGGAGAGGCTTCCACAGCATAGTCTGGAGACATAATAGTTTGCAAGTAAAGTATACCTGGAATATTGCTGACTATGGTGTTAAGCCAAACAAACAAACAGTGAATGCATGTATCTATCAATCGCTACCTTCATATTACGTATCATGTCATATGTTAGTGAATGTATCATTTCATAACACGATTTAGGATATTAATATGGCTTAAAAGTTACCCCATGGAAGTTTTCATATCATAACCCATATCAACCCAAGACCCCCATATCACCCAGAGGACCATCTAATAACATTTGCATCACATACCATACAATCAAATTGTAAAATGCAATACATTTCAACCTTGTTGGAAGACATTGTCACAGGAAAGCTAGCCGAGCAGACGACGCACAACGGGACATTACTGAAATTTCTTTCCATCCGGGCTGATGTCGATCGCCGATTTAAAATGCATTGGTAGGGGTGTACTACGTGTCTTGTTGTTACACCTGTGACATTGGATATTATTACCGGGTTGTGCGCTCTGAGTGATATCCAACTTTCCAGGTCTCACCAGATGGAGCTTACTTTGTTACATTCCAAAAATATATGTATAACATCTTCTGTGTTCATTAGAATAGTAGCTACAACTTACACGGTCTTTATCCCATTATATTAAGAAGACAACATGTATGATGTATAATATATGATGTATGACTTGATACTCTTCCTATCTTCTTCTTAAGTATCGTGTTCATCTTCGTACTCCAATTTTGCAAAATGATTATTTCTCTCACATAAATGTCTATAAGTATTTTATAGAAATACGGTAAAAAAGAAGATTGTAGGAAAATGGCAAATTTTGGTAATCCTTGACTTCAACAGCATTGTTTCAGAGTGTGAAAAACAACTCTGCAGGTTAAAAATATGAACACACAATACCATTTAGAAAGTGGTAAAATCTAACAAATGTTATATTAGGGATAACATGTTCTTACTAAGTACAGGTTCTAGTACTTTTGAGTTGAGTCGAACCCACACTGTCAGGGTGAGGCACCTAATCGCTAGCACATAAAGTCAGCGATCTATCCACACAGCCACCGAGGCTTCCACTTATTAAAAGTCCGACAACTGGTAGTATACATCACGTACTTTGTGTATCTCTCTGACAAGTGTAAATCGGCACGGATCCCATGGCCGAAAGCTATGACCACTGCCATTTTGAAAGTGGTCAAATGTAACAAATGTCATATTTGAGATAGCACTTTCTTTGTAGTGTACAGGTTCTAGTACTTTTGGGGTTTAGTAGCATCAGAGATTCGAACCAGCCCCGCCAGGGTGAGGCACCTAATCGCAAGCACACCCACTCAGCCACTGAGATGTCCACATAATGAAAGTCTGACAACTGGTGGTCTAGATCCTGTACTGTGTGTGCCCCTTTGTGTGACAAGTTGAAATTGGCACGGATCCCATGGCAGTGTGGCTCGAATCTGCCAGCATGTCCTCTTTCAATGTTTGCTCCGGGGATTCATCTAATTGTTTTGTCAGGAGATTTTTTTTTAGTTTTCTTTCCCGTATATATTGCTTTTTTGCTTTTTGTAGGATGAAAATTGCGTTGTCTTCACTCTTAAAGATTGATTGTCAATATTAAATTCTGTTTCCATCATATTATCTTTATTTTTATACTGCATTTTTGTTTCTTCAATGGTTGTCTTAACGAGTGTTACATCATCTCAAGTTCCGTCTTTCAATAGAGAAACTATTTAACTTCTAAAACACTTTCAAATTATGCCTGAATTACCATGTTGACAAAGGCATAGCTAGCATACACCAACACAACCAATTGCAGAATCATAGACCCAAAACAACCACGCTGTTTCAAGAAAGCGCTGTTCGTAAAAGGCACATTTACTGTTGAATATTGTATTCTCGAATGTGTCGTATCTTGTATTCTTGTGTTACCCTGTGTTGTGCTTATGGATATTTTTGTTTCTTGTGTGTGGTGTTTAACGCCACCATCAGCATAACTCAAGCTACATGAGAGCGGCCAGCAAATCAGTTAATGATATTGCGAGCAATGATCAACACTATCTGAGTACGAGAACATGCTATAAACCCTGTCACCGAGCCTGACTACCCGATTCATTATATCGCCTCGTTAGACAAGAATGTTGATTGCAAGAGACATATTCTAAGTACCAAAATTCATAAAGGGGCTAGTTGTGAAATCAATGAAATTACAATGGGTGAGGTGAGGGGAACATGGGTCTGCTTCTACTAGTCCAGACTAATGACGAGTTTATAGTGCTAGCCCATTGAATCTAGTTATCAGCATCACGTGAATCGTTGTAGTAAGTTGTATTTCTAGCATTTGCATGTTCATCAGGATGCTGATGTTGACCAGTTGTGTTGTAGTAGGCTGCGTTACCCTCTTGGTCCTCTGTGTTCACGGAATCTGGAGAACCAGCCCCACTAACCTCCACAGTATTGACGTACTGCCTGTCTACTTTATCATACTGGTGCTCCATGTCCTCGTAGTGGGCCGGAGACGTGTATATATTTGGGGCGCTCGCATCGTCTCCTGGAAGTTATATTGGAAGAAAAGTGATGGTAGTACGACACTAAAACTTCTTTTAACATTTTGTATTTCATAGGAAAATAATCTAGAAGGTATTTACATTCATTCATTTCTAGAGATTGAGCTTATGATGCAGTTCGTCCCTGTATAGTTCGAATCAATACGATTTAAGTGTCTTGTTGATAAGATATTAACAAGGTCTTTCAGGATTAATGGCAACACAGTTACAAATACATGTCCTTGCAATTGTTCACTAGCTCTAATGTGCTATTGACACTGGCATATGACACAGACTACATATTTCCTACCTGTACTGGTGTTCCTCCTTCTCATCCACATAATGAAGACGATGGCGGTGATGACGCAACCAACAACAACGCCACCCACCGCTGCTCCTACCGCAATGTAGGCGACGTTTGGGGCATCTTTACAAAGTAGAAATAGCAAAACAAATTTTAAAACTAATTACGCTATACACACTGTAACTGTTGATATGCTTCTTTTTGGGTTCTACATATTTTTCTCATTAAATGATGTTTGATGTGACTGTTCCTATTAAATACATGCAGAATAAGTTCATGATTTTAAGACTCAAGAAAAATGGACATGTAATCATCTATGTGTGTTGACACCTCAAAGGAACAGGAGATGTGGGTACTTTGGGTGCGGTGGTTCCTATCCACATGATTAAATTGAAAGCGCAAGTGTTGGTGCACCTACCGTCACCTGATGTTGGTTTCTCGTTAGCCCCATGGTCTGCAGTAGACACTGTAGACACATAGTCATGATAGGTGTGTATCATGTACATATTGAGCATTTTTTTAATTACAGAAACACAGATGTGAGTAATACGCTAAATGATTCCAAACAACATCATATGATTTTATTTACAATTGCACATCTGAGTTTTACCGACTTAAAGTTGTTCATATCTACATGTCTATCACAATTCTGTATTATTGTTGATAGCAAAATATTTCAGACATAATTATTTAAGAGGCACTGGACCATACGCGAATCTGGAGAAACAATTATTTGGAGGCTCACAAGTGTATAATTAGGACGTCTGTATGGAAAACATCATCAACTGATTTGTGCTTTGAAAATGGCTTGTCTGCTGTTGCTTTATTTTGACCAATGTTAGGATTGTTTATACATACAAAGCAATATCCATGCACACAAGAGGAGACAAAAGAAGAAAATTTGTAGGATGGTCGGTTTTTATTGCATGATGAATCCTATATTAACCTGGTCACTTTAAGTCGAATCAATTGTGAGAATAACTGACACCGTAGTATCATTTTTCATTATCAAGAACATGGATTTGATCAAAACAGGTGTAGTGATGATTTTCAACTCTAATAATACTCTAAATAATGTCTATATCACATTTATGGTGTCGTGAGTGTCTGTAATCTGGGTATCTTTAATTTCAATGAATATAGTTATTGCTGATTTTGTCCTTTTGCAAATGAAGTAACATATTACGATGAAATCCCTTTGTTTTGCAATTTCACTGCATCTGTATTTACTTAGCAGGTTCACGATAAGTGGCATAGAGATTAGTGAGGTCATATGATTGTGACAGCATGGTAACTGATGACGTCATACTGGTCTGCATAGCATTGAAATGCAATTTTATTCCAGCGATATCTCCAAGTAGGTATCGCTTGAAACCAGGTTTTTTTATGATAAGTTATATAGGTTCTATTATGGAATAGAACAGCGTGATAATATATATCACCCCCTTCTTGAAGAGACGTGCTTGAGGAGATATCAAACTTTGCTGTAGTAGCTGAAGTACCTGTAGTAGCTGTAGTTATTGTAGTAGCTAAAGTACCTGTAGTTGCTCTAGTTGCTGCTTTCGTAGCTGTTGATGACGCTGTCATAAGGTTTACTACGTCTGGAAAAGTATGTCGTTTTCATTAAATTGCCTGGCATTAATTCAGAAACTGAATGACTAGACTGGGGTATCAAAATGTTCATATGTTATGTTTTAGCGTTATGGGATGAAGGTTATTTGTGCGTTTTCATAAATATATGTTAAATAATGGAGTAAGATGCGGGATAAGTTTAGCATAAGCAAATGTGTTGAGCTCTTAATGTGCTTAGGGTTGTATTTTGCATTTGGGATCCACACACAAGAAAGGGAAAAGGATCTCACCGCATATCAACATGAACATCCAAATGTATGCCTCGAGTTACCTAACTATGTTTCGCTTTGTTCAACATTTTAACGCGATTGTGATCTAAAGTATTGATGATTTCCACTAAAGCTTATGAACAAGTTCACGAGACATGTGGGAAATTTAATATTAAAAGGTGGCATTCGATAGCTTCACCCTCCGGATGAGACGAAGTATGTAAAACTGTCGGAACAGTATAATCAGTCAGTTTTGTCGCTTTTATTTATTGCGGATCTACACGATGTGGAGTTAACGTCAACTTCAAGAAGATGTGAGTTGAGATGAACCTTAATAAAGTGACAAAACTATTTCCATAATCATAATAAGTCTCAACTAAAGCAGCGCCCACTGTAAGACTATATCATAAACATGTGTTTAAGAATCACTATCAAATAATGATGATACCAGGTAGGTGTAGTCTGTCCTATAGATCAAAACACATGCAGGGGCTAGTCAATTGTTCAACGAGGCGGTTGGGTAGTCTAGTGGTTAAAGCGTTCGTTCGTCACGCCGAAGACCCGGGTTGGATTCACCACATCGGTACAATGCGTGAAGCCCATTTGTGGTGTCCCCCAGCAGTGATATTGATGGAATATTGCTAAAAGCGGCGTAAAACCATACTCACTCACTCACTCAATTGTTCAACTAAAACAAACAGGGGAACATATGATACTAGTCATCATTTTTGTCACATATTTATCAAATTTCCACATGACTACCACACAATTTAATGACTTTACTTTTTCACTGGATTATGAAATCATAAAAGAAAGATTGATAAATGCGTGACAACATTTTCAAGTATAAAGCTAAAACGGTTTTTAAGTGTTCGATCACACAATCATAGTTTATTAGTAGCGTTGAATCAAAAAAACATTTTAATACAAGGTCATCTTCTATTGATTGTTTTCATTCGGCTTTAAATACAGCAAGGAGCAAGAGAGTGAGTATGGTTTAACGCCGCTTTTAGCAATATTCCAGCAATATCACGGCGGGGGACACCAGAAATGAGCTTCACACATTGTTTCATGTCGGGAATCGAACCCGGGTCTTCGGCGTGATCACCCATACAGCTAAAGCCAGCCTGAAACTTTCACGATTTTTGTCCCTGCAATTCCGCACAATGCGTCGTGGCAAGGCGTGCCATTTCGGTGGTACGCAGCGGAGCGTGAAGCCGCGTTTGCGCCCTGTTCGCGCAGTGTACACGCATAACTTACGCAATGTCTACGCAATGCACGGCCAAAAATGGGCCGAATTGGCACGCATTGAGACGCATGGCAGTAATTGTTTACGCATAGATCAAGTATTGTTCGCGCATTGTTCACGTCTACCGTACCGCAATGTCCCGCAGTGTCACACACGACACGCATAGTTCCCGCTGTTTTCCCGCATCGCCACGCATTTCCCAGACGACTTCGCGCATGCGTGAAGTCGTCGTGGCAATTTTTGGTCCCGCTTTGTCCTGCTTGACGGCACGCGTCAAATCCCGCTGTTGGCATATGTATATAAACTCCAAAGTGAAGAGACACTTCATTCCTCGACTCTCTGTGGACGATACAACATGCTGAATACCAGAAACACTGTTATTGCAGAACAGAGAAGGTGTCTCTGTCTGGCAGCTGCAGGACTATTACTTCTCGAAGAGCATGAAAAAGGCAGCAAGAGCAAGAGGAATAGCATGAGAAAGAAGAAGAGACAACGCTAACTAGAACTAGGAAAGCAAGGACAGTGTGAGATAGGCAATGGTTGGCTAGAAGACATGAGTTCGGACATTATGATGAACTATTGATAGAACTCCACAACGAAGATCCCAGAGGCTACAGGAATTACCTGAGAATGACACCCGACCTGTTCCAAGAGATGGTGGAGAAGTTAACCTCTCACCTTATGAAACAGACCACATTCATGAGAGAACCGCTTGAAGTTGGACTCAAGCTGGCTGCCACCCTCCGCTTCCTAGCCACTGGAAATTTCTATCCAAGTCTACAGTACAGCTTCAGAGTTGAAGCAAGTACAATCTGCAAGTTCTTACCAGGGGCGTGCAAAGCCATCATTGAGGTCTTCATGGACGAAGTGCTCAGCTGCCCCAAAACTGGAGAAGAGTGGAAGGAGGTTGCTGAGATCTTCAGCTCCAGATGGAACTACCACAACTGTCTGGGGGCCCTGGACGGCAAGCACGTTGCTATGAAGAAGCTACCCAAAGCAGCCTCCCTCTGTTATAATTACAAGGGCGTCCACAGCATGGCAGTTGCAGATGCTAGGTATAAGTTCTTGTATGTTGATGAGGGTGGTGCCCCATTGCGCCAGTCCTTCTGTCTCTTGTCATGCAGCTGTGGGTAGTCTTTTACATATTCTGCTAATTTCATGGTACCCTCATCTATCCTCTTATACTCAGGAATTTCTTTCTTGGACACTCTGATTCTCTTCTTCTGTTTTACTGTGGGCTCTTCTTCGCTTGACGGTTCTATTTGAGTCTCTGTGTAACAACATCCACACTTGAGCAGGAGGAAGGGGGAGAAAGATCCCTCTCCCTGTCTGCAATCTCTGTCTCTTTCTCTGTCTCTGGCCTGTCCTCTTTCTGTCTTTTCTGCACTGGTCTTACCCTTCTTCTGCGGACTTTCTCCGTGTAAGGCATGTTGTCCGTTTGCTAGCAAGTTGCAGAATGGCCAGGACCCGCTTACATACTTATTGACGCGAGCGCCGTTGTCGCTCATTGGTCGGGAACTACGCGCGAACAATGCGTAAACACTTTCTGAGCAGTTCGTGCATTGAGCGAATGGTTCGTGACGTGCGCGACCTATACGTGAGGTGGTCGATCCATGATTACGTGAACAACTCGTGACAACACCCTAACGACCGCACGATAACTCCGCGACACGATCGAATGCGTGAACGCGGCGCGAACAGGAGCTCTGGCTTGTGTAGATTGTGTTCGCCACTGAGGCCAGCATGTGTCGTAATAATGCTGTAACAGTGGGCACTATCAGGACGATTAGCGACACATCAGTACATGACTCTAATAAACTCGCACACAAAGCCGTGTCGACAATGCACCTACACTTGAATCAGAAACCTGTCTTTGTCGCTTGACAAGGAAGTAGTATCTACAGTCCATCCCACCCTCGACAAACTGAATATAATCTCTGGTCTATTTCCCAAGTTGCCTTGACATTTCAAACAGGTTTGACTTATACTCTGGTTCATGTACCTTGAATGTTGTGAGTGAGTATTGTCACTGAAGACACGACTGCCAGAAAACATGGCGGGGTGGGTGGATCTGCCTTCCATCCTTCCAAACAAGTTTCGGTATAAAGAGGGGCGAGTGACAGGTGGTTCATTTCAACTCCCTCCGGAGTCGGTTAGTAATGACGTACAACGATATCAATGTTTGTATATGTGCAATCTGTTTGTATTGAGTGCTTTATGCATACTACCTGACAAGGGATTGTTTCACGTTTCATAGCTTGGTAATACAATCTTTCAAAACTACTCAGACAAGATACGACACATAAATCATTGAATGGTGAGTGACATTTTGTAACAGTTCACGATGTTTCAAGTTTCTAAACTCTAATCCGAATGACACACAAAGATATACCACATAAATTAAGGTAAGGAATGACTATGTATGTTACTACAAACAAAGTCGCGCGGAAGGATTATGAATATCAAAGATATAATGATAAGGAACCTATCCCGGTTTAGTGATTGGTCAAAGAAATAACTCCTATCCTTGTTGCCAGAGGTCGAAAGATTGATCAGGTGGTCAATCTCGGCGACTTAGTTGATAGCGTGTCACCTTACCGCGACGGTCATTAGCGCTGCTCATAATATTAACCACTAGTTTTGTCTGATCGAACCATGAATATTAACCCGGAACATTAAACAGACCCTGAGATTATGAGCGTGCCGTTATTTTTCTGTTACCATTAGGGGGGCGGAGGAAGGGGGCGGTGTCGCTTCTGTCTAATCGCATTAACCCGCGGCCCTATTCATTACAAAATATGTTGTTTTATTGCATTAAAAAAATACAATAGGAAACTCTTAATGGCTCATTGATCTTTCAAGCCATACTCCCATATGCTAAGGTGGATACACAATAACAACACTAGCATCGCATCTAGATAGAGAAAGGAAGCCAAGTTCTGGTGTCCTCTGCACTGATATTTTTGAAATATTGCTAAAAGCGACGTAAAACTATACCCACACCCTCACTCACAATAAAAATGATAATTTCAATGAAAAGTGATAACAAAATTGATCCGAGTTTTTCACTCCGTATATATAAATGTCAGTTGGTAGTAAACTTGGAATGTATATTGTATCCCTCTCAGCTGTAATATGCTATACTTGAATGCTAGGCGAACATGCCATGTAGTCAGATAATGATAAAATACAAAACTACTTCCTCATCTGTTAAAGCGGAGAGTGAATAATGTATGTGTGTGACCTATATGTGTACTTGATGGAGCAGCAGTGTAATATTTTCTGAAACATTAATGTTGACAATCACACACCGTACATTGCATGAACGGCATAAACAGTGAATTCTTCAGGAAAAATGTCGAGATTAAGAAAAAGCTGCGTGTTCAAGGAGAAATCTAGGATTATAAGACTTTTTTATTTTAACATATAAATATGTTGTTGTTGTTGTTGTTGTTGTTGTTGTTGATGAAATTTAGAACAGCATCGCCAATGGGTCCCATATGGGTTCAGGATTTCAAAAGATACTCGTAGGTGAAAAAACTTTGAATGTGAAACTATATGTGGAATACCGATTACCAGAGTACATGAATACCATGTATGTCCATCTTAAGAATGTAACTCGTTTGTTAGAAATGATTGATTTATATCAACAATGGTGCCTGCATTATGTCAACATTAACATCTCCATTATGTCAACAATGTCATCTCAATAACGTCAACAATGGTGCCTGAATAATGTCAACAATGGCATCTTCCTAACGTCAACAATGGTGCCTGAATTATGTAAACAATGGCATCTTCATTACGTCAACCACGGTGCCTGCATTATATCAACAATGTTGCCTGCATTATATCAACAATGTTGCCTGCATTATGTCAACATTAACATCTTCATTACGTCAACAATTTCATCTCAATAACGTCAACAATGGTGCCTGAATAATGTCAACAATGGCATCTTCCTAACGTCAACAATGGTGCCTGAATTACGTAAACTATGGGATCTTTATAACGTCAAAAGAATTTCAAGATCCGGCCGTGTTTCAGCATCGAAAGCTAATGGGAAACACGACATATTGTATGCGGACTAAGGAATGTATGATCATTGAATCTGAAAGAAAACATTGTGAAACGAGTGATTACCTGATAAGGAAGTGTTATGTTCGAGCCGTGAGGAAAAAGGTTAACCAAAATAGGTTGTCCATTCATTTCATATTTAAACAACAATAAACCCAGAACATTAAACAGACCCTGAGATTATGAGCATGCCGTTATTGTTCTGTTACCATTAGGGGGGCGGAGGGAGGGGGCGGTGTCGCTTCTGTCTAGGAGATAAACCTTCTGTGTTTTGAAATTTGATGTAGTCCCACATCTCTTGGAAATCAAATATGCCATTTCCAATTGTAGGGGAGACAGGTTGTAGAACTAGTTTGTAAATACTGAACGAATATATTTCTCCAACAAACTTTATGAATTAACATTCTACTATTTATTTCAAATTTGTAAGTCTTATTAATTCGTTAGCAAAGCACCCCAAGTTAGCAATACAAATTCAAAATATATGCCTCTCAACCTCGAACTTGGATGCAGCAGAACTTGACCTACATCACGGTTACTGTGAATGGCTGCCAATGTTGTTGTTTACACTCTCCGAGCCTCTGACAAGTTACAGGAAGCAAGATGATCACCCAAATCTATGATGTGGTGCAACATTCACCTGTAGATTTATTGGCAATGAGCCTGCTGGTACAACGTGATTGGCAATGGAACTGTATAGCGTATGCCTGATGGACAGCTTTGTTTTAGGCTGCAGACGAGCCGGCATTGTGAAACAAGGGTTTGTAAGATCTCACGGCAAGTCGACGTCAGCATGTGACAGAAATGTGTCAGTTGAACCCTTGACATAGTGATCCGTGTATGTTTTGCATGCTGTGAAATGAATTTCACCAAGTTTGATACGCTGTTGCGATCAAGTGCTTGTGCTGTGACTTCTGTCGTGGAACATTTCTGAGTGGCCTTTCGAAAGGAAGGAATGTTTTCAGATGGACTTTTAAACTACTTCTGAGTATCTAAATGAGTTACAGACTAGAGATTAAAGCATGCTGGTGGTGACGCTATCCTACTTCATACATAATGTCTATAAGACATAAAGTCAATAAAAAATATAAATTAAAATTAAACTTTGTTTGGCTTTAAACGATTTTAAAAGACACTGAGCTATGTTATATCGGGATATGCATGCATTTGCATTACACCCTATTAAATATAATGACATAACAACCTGAAAGAAACCAGATAATCAAGCAGGGGAATGATATAATATCGGGTGATGTGCACAATCTCCTAAACAAGAGGTCTGGTGTAATATGGAATTCACTGAGTGAGCTGGGGGCGATGGGGGTAGCCTACTGGTAAAAGCGTTCGCTCGTCAAGCCGAAGACCCGGGTTCGATTCCCGACATAGGTATAATGTGTGAAGTCCATTTCTGGTGTCCCCCGCCGTGATATTGCTGGAGTGTTGCTAAAAGCGACGTAAAACAATACTCACTCTCTCACTGACTCACTGAGTTAGCTGTCAACCCTGGCAGTTTTACTAACCTGTAAGTAAACACATACTGTCTAATATATGTATGACATAGTGATGCAACAAAGGATTTGTGAACACACGAATGGAATGAGCGAGGTTACCTGTATTTGATTGTAAATTTAATTGTAATATGAGCGTTAATTAGGGGTGTAATGAGAGGAACATTAAATTTAGAGACTTGCGGGTATGCCACAATACATAAATATACATACGGTTTAGGGGATGGGTATTCATATTTTCTTGATATTGATTACATTTTGTGACCTATCATTTCTACGCTATACATATCCCGTGTCATAAAATGTATTTTGTCAACAAAGCAACTGAACATAATACACAATACATTACCTGTTGACTTGGGCAGAGATTTATCTTCGGTTGTCGTAGTTATGACTGGAGTCGAAAGAATTAATGTTGCAGCAGGTTTCGATTGAAGTTCGGTTACATCTGAAGCAAGCAATATGTTTGTCTTATTGTTGTATCAACCCTTGCATTGCAAAGACAGAGAAGAGAATGATTGTTATCACACACACACACACACACACACACACACACACACACACACACACACACACACACACACACACACACACACACACACACACACACACACACACACACACACACACACTCACTCACACTCACTCACTCACACTCACACACAAACACATTCCACCACAACATACGATTTCACAGTTGGATACATTGTGTAAATCCAATAATGAGTGACCCATACCATGATATTAATGAAATATGGCTAAATATAGCGTATAAACCTATCCAACACTCGACCCGTGAAGATTCCGGGGTAGAATAGGTCTTCAGCAACCCATGCTTGCCGTAAAAGGTGATTATGCTAGTCGTAAAAGGCGACTAACGGGATTGGGTGGTCAGGCTCGCTGACTTGGTTGATGCATGTCATCGATCCCAATTGCGTGGATCGATGCTCAGGATATTAATCACTGGATTGTCTGGTCCAGACTCGAATATTTACAGACCGCCGTCATATAGCTGGAATATTGCTGAGTGCGGTGTTAAACAACCAACCAACCAAACAACCTACTCAACACTCTCTTATTCACATAAGCGAATCAAATACTGAAGCATTGTGTATGGTATCAGATTGAAAAACAAATAAAAAAAGACATGTTTAATGACTCACGTATCGTCACCGTGTGACTCGTCTGACTTTTCGTATTATCCAGACACTTCCACCTCGTTCCATTGTCTCTGTCAGATTTTATCCTGAGAGTCACATTGTGTTGGAGTACATCACAGCTCACATTGACTCGTCCTGCCAGGTACGGTTGGAAGACATAATCTTTGGATATACTGGGACAAGAGGAACCTTGTGTTGTGATGAAGACAAATAGATCATTTCTATACCACTGTCTATCTCGTCCACTGCTAGTGTTGCTGCTGCAGATCAGTGTGAAGAGTTCTCCGTCTGACGCTGTCAAGGGGGAGCGTGTCAGGACTACAGAACCTGTTGAAAAATACAAATGTAAAAAGTTCATTAAAACACCAGTCTCTTACTTTTTCACAAGTATATATTGTTGAGGGAAACCACTATCTCCTGGTTCATCATAATATATAAAGCTTGTTTTCACTGTTGTTTTAATTCTTACAGGGACCGAAACGTTTGGATGTTTCTAATTCAAAGGTTCTTGTATTGCCGTCTTTCCTGTTTCTAACATACAAGGCGACATCTGGGATGTGGTGGATAGAGAGCCTACCCGGAGAGGTGAAGGCCAGTGGTTCGACCATTAACAAAACGACGTCAAAAGATGGTACTTATTGTTGCAATGCCTTGTGATGTATTAGGATTACAATGACCACCTTCTTGGTAAAGTGAATAGAGCGTTTGTCCGAAGAGGGGAAGGTTGGTGGTTCGATCATTAACAAAACGACGTCAATAGATGATACTTATTGTTGCAATGCCTTGTGATGTATTAGGATTACAATGACCACCTTCTTGGTAAAGTGAATAGAGCGTTTGTCCGAAGAGGGGAAGGTCGGTGGTTCGACTATTAACAAAACGACGTCAATAGATGATACTTATTGTTGCAATGCCTTGTGATGTATTAGGATTACAATGACCACCTTCTTGGTAAAGTGAATAGAGCGTTTGTCCGAAGAGGGGAAGGTTGGTGGTTCGACCATTAACAAAACGACGTCAATAGATGATACTTATTGTTGCAATGCCTTGTGATGTATTAGGATTACAATGACCACCTTCTTGGTAAAGTGAATAGAGCGTTTGTCCGAAGAGGTGAAGGTTGGTGGTTCGACCATAAACAAAACGACGTCAATAGATGGTACTTATTGTTGCAATGCCTTGTGATGTGTTAGGATTACAATGACCCCCTTCTTGGTAAAGTGAATAGAGCGTTCGCCCGAAGAGGTGAAGGTTGGTGGTTCGACCATAAACAAAACGACGTCAATAGATGGTACTTATTGTTGCAATGCCTTGTGATGTATTAGGATTACAATGACCACCTTCTTGGTAAAGTGAATAGAGCGTTCGCCCGAAGAGGTGAAGGTTGGTGGTTCGACCATAAACAAAACGACGTCAATAGATGGTACTTATTGTTGCAATGCCTTGTGATGTATTAGGATTACAATGACCACCTTCTTGGTAAAGTGAATAGAGCGTTCGCCCGAAGAGGTGAAGGTTGGTGGTTCGACCATAAACAAAACGACGTCAATAGATGGTACTTATTGTTGCAATGCCTTATGATATATTAGGATTACAATGACCACCTTCTTGGTATAGTGAATAGAGCGTTTGTCCGAAAAGGGGAAGGTTGGTGGTTCGACCATAAACAAAACGACGTCAGTAGATGGTACTTATTGTTGCAATGCCTTGTGATGCATTAGGATTACAATGACCACCTTCTTGGTATAGTGAATAGAGCGTTTGTCCAGAGAGGGGGAGGTCGGTGGTACGATCCTATTTCCATACAAAATATATTATTTTCTAAAATTTGGATCCTGTCGAGGTCTGTATTCATTTTCTAGAGAAACTCTTTTTTTAATTTTCAATGTGACATAAAAATCGCATACAGAAACCGTTATCGATTATCTAGTGACGTCATTTGTCCCTTTTCCACTCCAAAAATATCGACATTAGATTGAGTTATATATCTCTGATCATGCATACTAATGACTAGTGGAAAATATTAATGTTACGACAGTTTTAGATAGATGAAAGTAGACTTGAACAACACATAATTCCGTTACACAAATACTCACCTACGTGATCTGTGAAGCTGACGAGGGTGAGCAGCAGGAGTGGTGAAATCCGAAACATGATCCTGTATATAAAGCAAGAAGTCTGTAAATATCACAACACAATACATGCCTATTGTACATCCATCTATAACCCTACACGGAGATGATCATGTACAGGTCGGTTACACCGGGATTACTCTTCTCATACTTCAGTCTTCACATGTGAAATAAACCTGTGTGATATACACAGTCTCAATGTGAATGCTTCACCTCACATGTCTCTATCTCCGTGGAACAAGGTAAACTCGTGTATCTAGATGTAGCAATGACATAGAGCTGGGAGTTTCCAGTAATACCCGTGTCGCTTATCTCACCAGTAAGCTAGCACTGTGTACACATCCACCCTTAAGTCACAGTGACCCATGATCAGGTATTTATTTTCTCAAACCAGGAAGTTGTGATGATTTTAATCAGACTCGTGTATAGCTCAACGACAATAGGGGGCACGGGTGGCCCAGTCGTCTGAGGTGCCTCGATTCGCGGTGCAGAGTTGCGTCCCTTGGGCACGCCAGAAACCTATGATTGTGGGTTCGAATCCCGGTTCGCCCTGATTATGTTTCTAGGTTTGTCAGCACCATACCCGTGCTCGTTGGTTTCACCTTAGTGGTTAACGTCTGAGACCTGCATCACTTCGGGCTTTCCTCCCACATCAAGCTGACACGCCGTGATATAACTGAAATACTGTTAAAAGCGGCGTTAAACCAAACTCACTCACTCACATTCTGAATTGGAATACACGAAAATTACAAAATGCAATGGCCCAATAAAGCGAAAATAAGTCTCAACCTACACCAGCGTGTCCAACCACGCAAACACCTTTCTGATAAGGATGTGATTACAATGTACAATTTATGATTCGTGAGGTCTTTGTATAACAACATGACAAACAAGTGAATAGCGCTGCATTGTCCTCGCTGTGATAGTTGTGTTAGCTTGCTTGATGTTTAATACAGAAATGGGGGATTTCATGTACGGAAACAAACTTCATAACAACTTCCATTTTATTATCCCCGCCACAAAGGGGAAAGGGGCTGTAGGATCTGTAGAAGATTTTGAAAACCGTACAATATTACTTCGTGTGGTAATTTATAAACTGTTGCCTTTTGATAGTATGGGATTTTTGGAAAAAAAAAGTTTTCGAGCTTCCATGGCATCAACTGTGACTTCCACTGAAAATGCAGGTACTGCTCTTTCCAGGGGGTAAATGCCTTTCACACAACTGGACGGTTCATACTGGCGGGGTATAACGTACATGTCTGACATGCGTATTGTTATAGTCTGTACCTATTTCGAAAAGGTGTGTCTTGCAATTTTCGCAGTACTTTCCTGATCGCAAAACCTTCCAGTTTTACTATTATCAACAGTATATTCGTTGTGATTAATGACTTTCCATACTCTTTTCATTTTACAGATAAGCCTGTTACTGAGATCGTGATCGTGATTTGTATCAACAAAGAGCTAACTATAGCAGGACGTTAGAGCGGTGCACAAACCACTTGAGGTACATTTGAATAACTCACCACTCTACTTTATCAATAACAGTGTTACAAAACCTTTGAGTGAACAAATAATGTGAGTATGTAAGTTACTTATCAGCCTTGTGTGATCGATATTTAAACGTAAGTAGGGGCGGTGGGGTAGCCTAGTGGTTAAATCGTTCGTTCGTTACGCCGAAGACCCGGTTTCGATTCCCCTCTAGGTTACAATGTTGGATTTGTTTGTTTGTTTTGTTTCTTTGTTATTTAACACCGCACTCAGCAATATTCCAGCTGTATGACGGCGGTCTGTAAATAATCCATTCTGGACCAGACAACTCTGTGATTGACATCATGAGCATCGATCTACGCAACTTGGATACGATGACATGCATCAACCAAGTTAGCTAACCTTACCACCCGATCCCGTTAGTCGCCTCTTATGACAAACAGAGTGGCCTTTTACGGCAAACATGGGTTGTTGAAGACCTATTCTCCACCCGGATCTTCACGGGACTGACTCAGTGAGTGAGTTGGGTTTCGTCTGAGGCATTTACTGTCACAAATTAACCGCAGAAGATTGTGGAGAGAATAGATGTCTGTAAAAGTTATGCAACCAAGTGTTTGTGTTTAGGTGTATGTATTCATGTTCAGGGATGGGTTGGTTGGTTCGTTGTTTAATGCCGCACTGAGCAATATTCCAGCAGTATGACGGTGGTCTGTAAATAATACAGACCAGACAGTCCTGTGATTGACATCATGAGCATCCATCCACGCATTTGGAACACGATGACATGCATCCAAGTCCACGAGCCTAACCAACAGATCCCGGTGGTAGACTTTTACGACAAGCGTGGGTTGCTGAGGACCAATTATAACCAGTTTATTTACGGTTAATGCGTTAATGTGCCGGATTGAGCTAAATACCTTGTTGGGTTGGTGGATGTGTTGTTATACGCTGCACTCAGCAATATTCCAGCTATATGAATGAGGTCTGTCAATAACCGAGGAATTGCGCCGCCTCAGACGACAAGATCCACCCGTGTCCCCTGTTTTAAAAAGGTTCACATAAATATCAGTTGTTATACATAACCCCTCACTCTCGCGCCCTCTAATGTCTTATCACCTATTCAAATATAATCTCACCACCACAGAAACTTTCACTCACTCACTCACCACATATGTGTACTTGCGCGTAAACATCAGTCAATCCTGCTTGAAATGTCATGGTTTCTTGGTTGTAAGAGCAGAGACTATATTTAGGCTGTTTATCTAGTGGGTGGTGGAGTGTGGACTGTAGATATTACTTCCTGGTCTTACGAACGAGGGTTCGTGATTCAAATGTAGTTACATTGTCGACACGGCCTAGTGTGTGAGTTGATTGTATTGTATTGAGACGTCGCTTATCGCCCAGTGTTACAGCTTAATAGCGACACGTGCTGAGGTAGTGAACACAACCGACACGAGCCAGAGAGTCGAATACCTATGACTGGAGTACAGATACATTGACTGTGTGTGTGACAGTACATGAGTACAATAGTATTGACAAGCTTAGTTATGTGACCAAGATCAGTGACATGAGGAGGTAAAACTTGTTATTTTGCGTGACAAAGTCATTCAGGCAAAACCTGCTGTGAATCCTAAATAACCGGTTTCCCATGACTGTGTTGACATGGATGTTCCACTTACAATCCTGTTTTTGAGGGTGAGTTGAAGTTGAAGTTGATCGTGTTTAGATATATATCTGTGATAGGAGATATCTCAATAATACTGCCATGACTTCAAGGAATGATCCAATTTGTCAATGGGGTGTTTCAAATAACAATAACATGCCTCTGATTCAAGCACGCAAGGAAATATTAACATATTATATTGTAAAATCACTTTCATCCTAATGCTGTTTCTCAATCCATTTTGCAACATTGGTGAGGTACTTTCTCCTCGGACTTCCCAATGTTAGATAATGCATAGTTGTTTCATATCATAAAAAATCCAATAGGAAACGCTTAATGCCTCGTTGATCTTAACATCCTTACTCTTGATACATAATAGCAGCATCGAGTCACGATCACAATAATCATTTCAACTAAAAAAAAGAGAACAAAATTGATGCGAGTTAAGCAGTTCTGGGTGTATATAACACTCAGTTGGTAGTACTTGATTGATAGACGTACACTGCATATTGAACTACGTGTGGTGCAGGTAACGGTGTATATTTATAGTCACTGCTTTATGCATACTACCTGATAAGCGGTTGGGTCATGTTTTATAGTCAGATAATGATATAATTCAAAACACTTTCCTCATCTGTCAAAGCACAGAGTGAATAATGTATGTTTGTGACCTGCCGTATTCGACGTAATAAGCGCCCTGCTCTAATAAACGCCCACGGCGATATTTCTCATATATTAGCTAGTGAACAATCCCAATTAGCACCCCTTCCGATTGATCAATGTACACAAGACTATTTATTCATGTATAATATATACACACTCATGTGTTATATGCACTCTTAATTCTGGCAATTAAATACTGGAAATATGACTTTTCTTTTGTATCATTTCAGCCTGTCAGCATTAACCACGAAATTTACGATCTTTCAACTCTGTTCTTTTTCTCACCAAAGTTATATTCTTAAGAGAGCCCCCTATTTCTAATTTTGAGAGCGCCCTGGGCGAGTAATACTTTCTGAAACATCAATGTTATCAATCACACGCCGTATATTGCATTAACCACATAGACGGTGAGTTCTTCGTCAAAAATATCTTAGTTGAGAAAAGCTGTGATAGCAAGCGTTCCAGGAGCAAACTAGGATTATAACCAATGTTTTAGCATGTATATATATATATTATGTGTTGGGGTTGGAATTCACAACACCACAGCCAATGGGTTCCATGTGTATAATCTGATCTGTTCAATAAGTTTTGAAGATCATTCACCAATTTAGTCCCTTGGCATAAATGACGAATACAAGTGTCATACATAACATATCACACTTTGTGTCATCCAAGTGTTATTTAAAAAACACAAGAAGTAGCAAAGTACAAGCAGTTTTATTTTTTACAAACCTCTATTATTATCATAAAATGTTACACGTGTTAAATATCTTCTATGCTTGTCATAATATAAGCATTCTTCCATTCCTCCCACATTTAGAGCTTCTTTCATGCTTATCAAATTTGATGTGACATTGACCGATTGTTGAACAATGGTGTCTGCATTACGTCAACAATGTTGCCTGAATTATATCAACATTTACATCTTCATTACGTCAACAATGTCATCTTCATAACCTCAACAATGGTGCCTGTATTACAACAACAATGGCGTCTACATTACAACAATGGTGTCTACATTATAACAACACTGGTGTCTACATTACAACAACAAAAATGGTGTCTAGATTACAACAACAATGGTGTCTACATTATAACAACACTGGTGTCTACATTACAACAACAACAATGGTGTCTAGATTACAACAACAAAGGTGTCTACATTATAACAACACTGGTATCACCATTACAACAACAACAATGGTGTCTAGATTACAACAACAATGGTGTCTAGATTACAACAACAATGTTGTCTACATTACAACAACAATGTTGTCTACATTACAACAGCACTGGTGTCTAAATTACGTCAGCAATGTACGTCAACAATGGTGCCTCCAGTACATCAACAATGATATCTGCATTACGGCAACAATGTTGTCAATATAACATCAACAATGGTATCTATTTTACGTTATGAATGATGACTACGTCATATCAGCAATGGCGCCTGAATTACGTCAACATTGGTGCCTACATTACGTCAACATTGATGCCTGCATGACGTCAACAATGATGCCAGCATGACGTCAACTATGATGTGCACAAAACGTGTAGTATGTACATGCATTATGTAGAGAGTTACGGATATTTGTCTTGTAAATATTGAATATTCCAGGACATTTCATTTTAACCATTGCATAGATCATTCACATCATTCTGATCGCAATACTTCAATATCACAGAATCCTTCTAGGGGTGTCTGCTGTATTTGTGGGACCTTCAAGGCAGGTTTGTATCATGTACTATGTTGTAGTAGGCTGTGTCCCGCTTGTCTTCATCTGTGTTCACATAATCTGGAGTATCAGTCTCTGTACCCTCCACAGTGTTGACGTACTGCTTCTCTACGCTGCCGTACTGGTGATCCATGTCTTCACAATGGGAGGCTGAATCGTAGATGTTTGGTGTGTTGATGTTTTCTTCTGTAAATGTGAAATATTTCATGTACAGTACTCTGAAATTCTCTTGACGACACAACAGAGAGTAAATGTATCATTATCGGTGAACATGTTTTGAGGGGTAAATGTTGAAGAAACGTGCCATCTCCATTGGACGAAATGCCAAACGTTCTGTTTTAAAGGAACGACCCGTTTTGAAACGAAAAATGTTTCACTGAATTCTAAAAAAGATGAAAACTCTAGACAATGATGGACTACTTCCACATCCCCTTGGAATTGGTTGGAGAGACAGTGTCGGTGTCGATGATCTCCCAGTCTGTTTGTTGTCGTCAAATGTGTTTTCAATGTATGTCAGTCATAAAACATGTTCCCAATAACAGACACGTTTAATGGTTCAACCCTATGTTGTCTACACAGAAGTCGACACTATTTAGGGTATATTATTTAGCAAATGACATCGGATGACATTACCATTCAATCCTGTGCTTTCAGGTAACATGGAGATTTAGGGATGGGCAAAGTTGTCTGAGGTGTTGCAATTCAATGAGCAGCGTTACGCCCCTAGGCTGTGCAAAGATCCCATGTGCGTAGGGATGAATTCCTGGCTCCACTCAGTATGACTCTTGGTCTGTCATGTAATACACCCATGTGGGTAGGTTTTACCAAAGCTATCACGCCACCCTTTATGGCGATATGCCATGTTGTAAGAGAATTTCTGTAACTGTTTATAAACCCGCTCTTATGCACAATAATAGCTATTTATGTACACATACGACATGTATAATGCTTTCACGTGAACCGATATATCACAATCATATTAGTGCGTATACGATCACCAAAATGGCAACACGATTAACCGTTCGTAGATGGAAATAAATGTTTACTCTACCTCTTGAATATGTGTCAATTTAGACATCTGGAAAATTTACAGATGTATGCAATTGCGTTCACATGCCCTTTACATACGTGTGTACGTTTACATATGTATATGCAAAAATACCTCCTAGTGCGCACATGAATGGGATCTTAAATATTTTCCTTCAACCATTAAGGTGGTAAGCGCTAAGTATAATGTAAATTAATATTTACCCACAGCACTTAACTTTCGATTCCTAGTATATGTTTAGTTGCGCGTATTTATTGCCTTCCCTCATTATATAGAGACAACGTTCTTTGGCAGGGACCAGTGAACGAATTGACAATAGCCATTTCTATCTCGTAAGTAACATTAGCCATTTCTTGTGCGTGTTTACAGAGGAGAACCATGTCCAGAACCACTTTTCACTGATGATAGCAAAAAGTTAATTTATTACTTATGCATTGTTTATATTACCTCTTCTTATGTGAGACCACCTCCATGGTCTAGTGGCAGAGCGTCCACCCGGAGAGCGGAAGGTCCGGGTTCGATCCCCGACCGCGTAATACCAAAAGACGTTAAGAGATGGTACTTGTTGTTACCCTGTCTGGCGTTCGGCATTAAGGGGCTTAAACAAGGACTATTCGGCTCGGAGTCAGTATACTGTGACTGAGTGGGTTATTCATGTTAAACTGCGGCATGGTATCTCAGTGAGCTAGCACTATAAATCGGCATCAGTCCGGCAAGCAGCCACACAAACACACACACGTACATGCACGTCGCTATATAAGTGCAATAATCTTGGATGCGACGTTAAAACCCCATTTCACCTCACCTCTTCTCATGTGTCTTTTCTTCATCCACGCGATGACGACTGCGGCGGTGATGACGCAGCCAACTACAGCTCCACCTATAACTCCGATGACAATGTAGACGACATTCGGTGTATCTTTTAAAAATGGAAATATAAACATAAAATATCTAAAATGACAACTATAATAGTGAAAAGGTTATGTGTTAATGTTCACCTGAAACATGTTTTAAATCGATAACTAGAGTAACTCTCATGTTATTAGCGGTATTGAGGTACTGGAACATTGTGAGTCCGTGTAGATAACATGAACACCTTACTTCACAATATCAATCACTGATTGCGTTGCGTGAGTGAGTGAGTATGGTTTTACGCCGCTTTTAGCAATATTCCAGCAATATCACGGCGGGGGACACCAGAAATGGGCTTCACACATTGTACCCAGATTGCGTTGAGTCATATGAGGAGGTATCAACATCAGTGCGGCGGAAAAACTAAGTAAAATAACGACGTTATTTGGACGGAAAAACGATGGTTTGAAAGCGTCCAAAAAACGTCGTTTTCCCGTCCAATGACCATATACGGACAAAAACGACGTTTTCGTGTTTGCAGTGATGCTTGGTTGTTTTTAACAGGTTCTACGGTACATATGAGCCTAATCTATGTAGCTTAAATGGGACATGTCTCAGACTTTTCCCCATGACTTTTGAATCGTGAAGCTTCAGGGGTAGAATAGGTCTTCAGCAACCAATGCTTGTCGTAAAAGGTGACTATGCTAGTCGTAAAAGGCGACTAACGGGATCGGGTGGTCAGGCTCGCTGACTTGGTTGATGCATGTCATCGATCCCAATTGCGTGGATCGATAGTCATGATATTAATTATATAATTACTGGATTGTCTGGTCCAGACTCGATTATTTACAGACCGCCGTCATATAGATGGAATATTGCTGTGTGCGCGGCGTTAAACAATAAACCAACCAACCAACCAACCCAATGACTTTTGGAAATGGCCGAATGAATTCCCAATTAGATTCAAGAAACCGCGTCAGCTAGAAAGGGCAATTTTCTTTTAGAAAATATAGCGAATGTAAATTATAAAACGACAATTTGTGGTTTCTAAAATATTTAATACGATGAAGTTATAAGGACCTCAAGTCGGATTAAAATGTCTATCTTATTTATGACGGACGTTGACATCACGATATCTGTGCACGATCTACAAGTGCACGATGTAAAAGGTGACTATGACTGTCGTAAGAGGCGACAAACGGCATCAGGTTGTCAGGCGCGCTGACTTGGTTGTAGTGTGGTGTCAAACAACACAAGAGTAAATCTAAAGTAGTACTACTTAATTAAAAATGGGATTGAAGCACGTAATTATCAACTTCATAAACGAATTTAGACAGGACAATTGCTTCTTCACATTTTGCTAGCAAAAACTTATTTTTGTTCTTACCAATTATATTGTGGTTATTTTGATGACCATTGACTTTCCCTCGATTGCGATGACATATGTAATATATACTCACACGCAAAAGAAACGCAAGTCGAGTATGCAGTATTCATGTTATTTATTTTCAACAGTAAAGACAACAAATACTTATAGGGCAAGATTAACAAAAAAATTACTGAAGACAGTTTAATGGATTAAAAGGCAGATGACATAATTGTTTGTTTCAAATGTTAAGGGCTTACACAATTTTGGGTCAATACCCAAGATGCCAGTCAATACCTGGTGTGACCACCATGAGCATTGATCACTGCCACACATCTCCTGTACATTGAGTGGATCAGACGATTTGTGAAGGCCCTAGGGATCCTCCTGCACACATCCAGAGCAGCTTTGCGTAGTTCATCGGCAGTTGTAGGGACTGGGCGCACATTGTGCAGACGCCTTTGAACCTCATCCCACAAGTGTTCGATGGGCACGATAGAAAACGGATGTTGTGTTGTTGAAGAAAGGGCATGGTAGCTCTGGCGACATGGGGACGAGCGTTGTCCTGCTGGAAAATGTGTTGTTGATGTTGTGCAAAAAAATGGAACAACGTGGGGTCTGATCACTTGGTCGATATACCGCTGTGCAGTGACGCCGTGTCCCCGACCTTGACCAACATTCAGAAAGCACATGGGTCCAAGTCTCGCATTAAGTCCAATCCCTTTTCTTATCATGACGCAATGTCCATCCCATGGATCCCTTTCCGCAACGTTTCTGTCAGCGAAACGATCACTTGACGCCGCCAAATTCTGACTCTTACGTCTGCATGGAAGACACAAAAGCGACTTTCATCAGAGAAGATGACACGCCTCCACTCACGATGACGCCGATTGTGATGATCCTGTGCTCACTGAAGTCGTGCTTGTCGATGCCGTGGTTGGAGAACAGGACGACGTGCTAGTCGGCGACATCTGAGGTTGTTGGAACGGAGATGTAGGATCACAGTGTCCCGGCTAATGTGTCGATTATGTGTTCCTATGGTCTGTCGAGCACTTTCACTTGCAGTTAGGAACGGATGTCGCTGGTGTTGACGGGTAATCGGTCGATCTTGTCGAGGTTTGGGACGACCGCTCCGAGGAAGGTCATCCGTGGTCTGTGTAGCATTGTATCAATGCAGGAGACGGTAAATTGTGGTTATGTTAACTTTGAAATGACGGGCAACATCTTGAACAGACTCTCCAGCTTCCAAACGTCCGATAGCCTGGTTTCTCTGAATTTGAGTTAGCCGTGGTATTGTTAATTAAGTAGCGGTAGGTACAGGAATCAGCCACAGTTTTATACCCTCTACAGTTCGTGACAGTTCGTGCATTTTCGATTTCGCAAGAAATGTGTGCATGCTACCCACATATTAATTGAAATGGTGCATTTTGGCAATTCGTTTTTTATGTTGCGTTTTTACTCGTGGCTTCCAAAATGCAAACAAAAATATTGATATCACCATCAGGCTTCACTACATGCTAAAACTCGTATCGATTTATGGTTCCTTGTTTGTTACCTATTTGCTTAAAACCACCCGCGTTTCTTTTGCGTGTGAGTATATTAAAGAACTATACATACTTTCAAATTAAAGCTCATGTGAATGAACTTGTTTTTTTGTGTGCTTATCAATATTTACTGTACTGTTTAGCATTAGAGTCGTTTTCGATATATTCAACCTGGTTTAGGTTGTATGCCACCCATGGCTTTCTTTGTAACAAAAACAAGTAAAATAGACAATTGCATTTATTGATTTATTTAATTAGGGACATAACAGCAATATCAACATGCTGCGTGAAGAAAGTTTTGGAATGAATCGAATGCTTATGCTATTTAACTGGAAGTTTAATAGAGGGAATATCAACATTTTGCCGGAGATTGATAAAAGCTTTTAGTCCAACCCGTTTCCACATATGGTGTCAAATTATTAAGGATTTTCTTCTCTTATCGAGATTCTTCACTTAAATGATCAACTTAATAAAGTAATTTGTCGATTTTGTCTTCATATTTATCCATCAATGAACGAGCACCATACTCATGCGTCCACTGGCGGAAGTTAAATATCTAGTTTATCAAAATATCAGCTTCCAGAAGAAACTGGCAGATGGAGAAAAGTAACAATGTATGAAAGAAACTGTTTGCTCCTTAATCAAAGGCATATTGGAGATGAATTCCTCTGTATATGAATAACTTCTTATTCAGTAAAGAACGCATTCGATATCTGTCACCATACCCACTCATCATTCGAATGAACTTGACTGATGCATGTCATCGTATCCCAATTGCATGGATCGATGCTCATGATGTTAATCACTTCATTGTCTGTCCTGACTTATTTTTTACAGACAGCCCTCGTATAGCTGGAATATTTCTGAGAGCGGCGTTAGACAATGTCCACTGACAGTCGTGTATATATTCACATTGCTTATATGTATGTAACCTTCGAATTGCATGTCTCACGGCCAGGGTGTAAATAATGCCCCGTTCTGTTTCACCAGTATATGCTTGACGTTAGGTTGTTGCTAAATGAAATAAAATACCTTTTGGCTGAGGTGTATATCAAACCACAATTTGTCAGTATTTCCTTAAACAGACCAAACTGCTCTGGTAAGAAACAAAACAAGCCTGCATCAGTGAAAGTGATCAGTGAAATAAGAGAAAACCGACCATCATTTATATTGGATACTGCCAGTTGGTCAACAAATTATAGAGCAATGTTAAATTGCTGAGTAAATAAGTAGAATCTTTCAATCATCATGTTTTACAACAGCACTACCTTTGCTGACAGAAATTCTACTTTCACTTGACGCTGTTGGAGATGCTTCATGACTTGAAATTGTAGTCATTGATGTGACGGGTGATGCTGCAGTACTTGCTTCTGCATTTACTACATCTGGCAAGTAAAATGTGACATCAGAATATGTTATTTTGTTAAATGTTCGCATTTGCCTAATTTGGTTAAATGTGTATGATAGGGCTTCAGCTGTGTTAATTTATGTGTTTTGAATATTTACAAGATTTTTGGAATAACATAAAACAACGTTTGAACTATTCATTGACTTGTTTGTTTGTGAATTCGACAACATACCCACATATACAGTAAAGTCCCGCTAATCCGACATGGTTTGTTGCATATGATTATGTCGGATTAACGAGTTTGTCGGATAAACGAAATTAAGTAGTATCAACGATCGCGATAGATAACGATACTAACATGTAATATGAAAATAAAAAATGAGAGAGAGAGAGAGAGAGAGAGAGAGAGAGAGAGAGAGAGAGAGAGAGAGAGAGAGAGAGAGAGAGATGCACACACACATATTGAAAAACTGATAGCAAATTTGTTTAATGTATGTAATAAGTATATGTGCGTGTCTTTGTGAGAACAGGCGATGGGGTAATCTGGTGGTTCAAGCGTTCGCTCATCTAGCCGAAGACCCGGATTCGATTCTCCACGTGCTCATGGGTACAACGTGTGAAGCCCATTTCTGGTGTTTCCGCTGTGAGTTTGCGGGTATATTGCTAAAAGCGGGGTATACGTAACACGTCACTCATTCACTTACTCACTCACTAACTCACTGAGGATATTAACAAGATTCAGGTAAACTGAAATGGACTTTCCGTGTAAACATTTTTGGATTTAAACAACGATACCGAATGAGTTGTTGCTGAAACGACTTGTCCGACCTGTATGTTTCCCAGTCACAAGTTACCGAAATGCTATTTGACCTCCGAATCACATACAGTATAATTACACTCATGGGATCTGTTGATTCACTGTGTTTCACTTTTAAGGATTTTCTCCTACATTTGTCTCCTACTCACCTACAGTAATGTTGTTGCTCCTGTCGCCCTTCACAACATCCACACACCACCACACAGATCCATTGTCTTTTTGAGCGTTAATCCTGAGCGTTACATTGTGTTGGTTAAATTCGCAACTGGTATTGATACGTCCTGACATTAACGTGTTGATTACATCTTCTGCACACTGAGTAGCAGTCACATAGCGTGTACGTACGATGAGAGCACTGTTTCTCGACCACTGTATGTACCGACTACCTGCACTGCTGCTACACATCAGGGTGTAGGCGTTCCCTTCCGTTATCCTGGTAGGAAACGTGGTCAGGTGTAGAGAACCTGTTAAGGGAAATCGGTTGTGTGTTTACAAATACAATATATATCCCCGTCAATATGGAAACCCCGCCTTCCTGGTGATCATGGGTGAGTGAGTGTGTATGGTTTTACGCCGCTTTTAGCAATATTCCAGCAATATTACGGCGGGGGACACCAGAAATGGGCTTCACACATTGTACCCATGTCGGGAATCGAACCCGGGTCTTCGGCGTGACGAGCGAACGCTTTAACCACGAGGCTACCCGACCGCCCCACCGGATGATCATGATTACTGTAGGGAACTTATGTATGGAATATATGTACATATTATTAAATCATTATCACTATGTATCCGTTTTGCACATACTGGATAGTGAATTTTACCTGGAACGTTACCGATCGACTCACGGAAAACCATTTACTCTGTTATAGGAAAATAATGGAGGAAATGCGGTTAGTTGTAGAAAGCCTATTGAAGCCGGGTTACGAGGTTATCCCCATTTACGTATTCCGTACGTATACCCCCTGGTAAACTAAAAGTGTATGAAATGAGGTCGATTCTTATCAAAAATAAGCATGAGCTAACATTAGAGGTAGGGAATTTACCTCCCTTAAATTATGGGTTCTGTATTGTTGTTTCATGTGTAAGCACCTGACAACAGTCGATTAAATTTGATAATTACGAGTGAATGTTGTATTATGACAAACATTATTTTTTAAAAACCAAGACATTTGTAAAAGACTAGAACTGCTTGTGCGTTTCTACATGTTTCTTGTATAACACAGGGATGATATAAGGTTTTGGAACATAGTATTTGTATGAACCTATTTAACATGTTAAGTGTGATTTGAGTGGCGTGTCTGTGGCCAAGACATCTACGAGTTGTCTTCCTTAGTTACATGATCACCTTGCTCATGCACTCACCATTAGTTCAAACTGTTTCCGATCTACTCACCTCTCGTTTGTCCTGTTATAACACATTTTAAGCTCTTGTATTACTAATAGAATCAAGCAATCTTTAAACAAATTAATTTATTGTAATCAATCAGGATTTATCCCTGTGAGATGTTTAAGTGAAAATACTAGATTACTTTACGTTTTTTATATTTGAAACTAAGAGACTTGACAAAAAAGGTACGTTGATACTCATTGATTTTGAGAAAGCGTTCGACACCGTGAATAAAGATTTTATTTTCCTCTTTCTGGAAAAATTTGGCTTTGGGCCAAATATGATTAAATGGATACATATACTCATATCTAATGCCTCTTCTTGTATTGTCCAAAATGGCTACCTCTCTAAATTTTTCATGAATGAAAGAGGTTGTAGACAGGGTGACCCAATTTCCCCCTATTTGTTTCTTTTCGTAGCTGAAATTCTCGGTATCATGATTCGTAATAATGAAGATATAAAAGGTATACTTCTACACGATATTGAACACACATTGGGCCAATATGCTGACGTCACCCAATTTTTTTAGATGGCTCGGAAAAATCATTAAAATCAGCCATGGATACACTTGAAACTTTTTACAAAATCTCAGGATTAAAAATGAACTTTGAAAAAACCAAAGCAATATGGATAGGCAGTATGGCTGGTAGTAAAGTCCGATTTTGTCCTAACTTAAAGCTAGATTGGCATGATGGCAACTTTGAAGTTTGGGGCATATGTTTTAATGTTGACTTAAAAGACCTTTGGGTAATCAACACTAAAAAACGCCTTGATAATATCTATGGTATTATAAGCAAATGGAAAAAATGTAATTTGACTTTGATGGGTAAAATAACAGTTGTTAAGACTTTAATTCTCTCTACCCTTGTACATATTTTTTCCACTCTCCCAAATCCATCAAAAGCTTTTATTGATCATTTGAATAGAATTCTTTTTAACTTTATTTGGAGTGGCAAAAGAGATAAGATTAAGAGTGATTATTTGAAATGGAATTACAGTCAAGGTGCATTGAAAATGACTGATATACCCAAATTTATATCATCCTTAAAAATTTCATGTTTAAAAAGATATTGCGAAAAAAACATTAATTATGACCTTGCTAGTTTTCAGCTGGCTCATATCTACACTTTAGGTGCCAGTTTGCACAAGAATTGGGAAATTGTAAATCCTTTCTGGAAAGATACCCTTATAGCCTGGAGTGACTTTATGCATTCATATGACTTTGAAGACTTAGAAAAAGCAGAAATTGCTTCCCAACCCATATGGTTAACGATCATTTTAGAGAACCAGTATTAATTTTTAATGACTGGTTTAAAAAAGGTATAGTTACGATAAAAGACTTGTATGATGAAAACGGATGGATCCCTTTCCCACGTTTACAACAACTTTATGATCTTAAAGGAACTTTTCTCGACTATAACCGTATGTTCTTTATTTTTCCAGAAGTTGGAGACAAAATATTGATAAAAATCTACATTCCTCTTCTAATCTCACAGTATCTCCTTGGATTTATGATCTTACACGTTCTATTAAAGGAACAAAAGTGTTTTATAATAAACTGATAGGGAATCCCCTCCCTCTCCCTAAATCTTGTTTGAAATGGGAAAATCAGCTGGGATGTTCTTTTCCATGGAATCAAATATTCAGTGTATATTGCCATGGGTTAAGGGACACAAAACTCAGGGATTTCTAGTTTAGATTTATTCATAAAGAAATAGTAACTAAACGTGAGTTATTAAGAATGAAACTTATTGATAACGATGAGTGTTCTATGTGTCATACTCACAAAGAAAATGTTTTTCATGTTTATATCGAATGTCATGTTGTAAAGAATTTCTGGTCAGATTTCTGTATTTACTTGACTCATATCTTGCATAGAAAAATCCTTATAACTGACAACGAGCTCCTCTATGGTACCTCTGATGTATTAATTAACCATTTGATTGTAGCTGCTAAAAGATTTATCTTTGTCCAGTGTATTAAGAATGAAAATGTTGACTTTGTTGCTTTTAAGAACACAATAAGAAGTATCTATGACGTTGAATATCATATTGCATGTAGAAATAACGACTTCTCTGCCTTTAATAGAAAATGGGCTTTGTTTACTCAAACTGCAAAATAACTTATTCACTTGATTTTTGCAACACAATTTGATGTACCATAAATACCGCATCTTCTTAACTGTATACATAAATATGCCTTCATCTGTACCATGATATGGATTATGCCTTCATCTGTACCATGATGTGGATTACGCCTTAGGCCTCCTCTGTACCATATCCTTTTGAGAAGTACCTGTACTCATAAAGCTGTATTGCTTTCCGAGCGCATATGTATCCTGTGTATATGACTGAATAAAAATTTATAAAAAAACCAAACTGTTTCCGATCTACTCACCTCTGGTTTGTCCTGTTATAACACACACCAAAACCAAGACAGGGAGTAGCTGAGAACCCATTTCAACACCAACTGATTTCAATAATATCTATGTTATAATTATAATCCTAGATTGTTGGATATTATAGAAAAATGGCGTACTCCTTGAACATCCCTTGCAATTGCAGTTGTTTCTCAATCTATAAATACTTGCTGAACAATCTCCTGGATATCCCAGTCAGTCGATGCATTGTACACTGTGTGATTGTTTATCTTTATTTTTCAGAAAATATGATCATGAAACAGCATGCACATTTAGGTCACACATTGTTCACAAGGTGCTTTGCCAGACAAGGAAGTATGTTGTATTGAAGTATTATGTAACTATGAAACACGGCCGCTTGTCAGGTAGTATGCACAAAACACTGTACAAATAGACACTTAAATATTCAGGGGACATATTCCGTGTACGCGTCTAGCAGTAATGCATGTTGTTATATATAACTGTATGAAAGAAAATACACATTCAAAGGTTACTATAGTGAGTGAGTACGTTTTTACGCCGCTTTTAGCAATATTCCAGCATTATCACGGCGGGGTACACCAGAAATCGGCTTTACACATTATACCCTTGTCGGGAATCGAGCCCGGGTCTTCGGCGTGACGAGCGAACGCTTTAACCACTAGGCTACCCGCCCGCCTAGGTTACAATATATCGATAGAGATAGATAGATAGACCGCGCCTTGTTCATCAACATGATAATATTGATTGTCATATGATGCTACTATTGCATTTGTAAAACCAACTCCTGATTGTATCTGAAAACTACCAACAAAAATTTGACACGCCAATTCAATCATGTATTGTTTCCCGGGCTACTGTAAAGGAGATATTAACCACTTCCGACAAATATTCACTCCCGTTTTATTACCAATGGTAAATAGCTGATCCACGTTCTTCGGTGAAAGATTTAATGATGATCTGGTTATGTTGAGTTAAATAATTGCCATGATCACAAGTGCAGTTATTATTTGTAACTTGGTCCACCTATCGGTCAATATGCAGTGTACGCCTGGCAATCATGAGCACGTAATGCATGTTATGTATCGATTCCTAGGACAATCAACAGGACGTCATATGTTGTAGTAATATTCACCCACCCAACAAGTGCTTGTAATGTTAAGGTGACTTGGGTATTAAAGCAGAGACTATATTTAGATCGTTTGTCGAAGGTGCGGTGGACTGTGGATACTACTTCCTGGTCTAACAAACACAGGTTCGCATTTCAGGTGTAGCTACATTGTCGACACGGACTTGTGTGTGAGTTTGTAAGAGTCATGTATTGAGACCTCGCTAAAGCCTAACAGTGCCCAGTGTTACATCATAATTACGACACATGCAGGAGTCAACCTACACGGACCAGAGCGTCCTGTGGAACATGTGCCTGGGGTAGATGCATTAGTTGTACATCGTTTTCAATATTAATGAAGAGTTTCGTCATATGAGGAGGTATCAACAGCATTGAGGAGGAAAAACTAAGTAATTTAGCCGGTAACCCGCCACTGTGTTCGTTGAAATGGATGTTTGGCGTACAGTTGTGTTGTTTGCCTGTGGGTTCACTACATATGCAGGGGGTGAGTTCATGCTTGACTATTTTTAATATATTCTACATATACAGTCATATGAGTATAATCTTAGTAGTTTTAATAGGACATGTCATTTTCCTATGACTTTTAGAAATGCTCGAATAATTTCTCAATTAGATTCAAGAAACCACGTCATTCAAGAAAGAACCGACATTTTTTTTTTATAATAACGAATGTAATTTGTAGTTCCTAAAATATGTAACACATACCTTACAATGAAGGTATAAGGACCTCACGTAGGATTGAAGATTCCATCTTATTTATCAAGGACGTTGACATCACAATATGTGTGTATGATATACAAGTAAACTTTAGTTAGTTTAACTCAGTTCGATTCATTGTCTGGCCCCTTACTCACCAATCGTTAAAAGTTCTGATTAAGTCGTGTTTTTATGCAGATACATAAAACGAGAATAGCAGCCAGTTTTCACCTTTAGTTGTAAACACATGATTGAAACAGCTTTAAACAATGTACTGACTGTAATTTGAAATTTATTAACACAATTAGATTGTATGTGCCCAAGCAAGTCTATTCCAAGAACTGTTCTAAAGATCAAAATTCCTCATATCTTTCGAAATTTCGATTCGGTTGATATTTCTATATTTGATTCATTAAGTAAAATATTTTAGTACATCAAGTAAAAGTTATTCCAAACTGAAATGACTGTCACTGATATAATTCTATTAATGTTGAGCCACTTTCTGTGAGGAGCTGTATATATGTATGCATAATTACCCCCACAGCTAAGAGTCTCCTTCAGCTATTGTTTCAACTGATATTGGCTTCCAAGGAGACATATAAACCAGGAAGAGAATTTGTTTAAAATTATAAGAGCACCCTCAATCATATATATATATATATATATATATATATATATATATATATATATATATACACAATATATATAACAAAATGTCTTTATCTTGTACGAATGTAGATATTGACCCTCACCGTTGGAAGGTTATGTCACATTGCACTGTGTTACTGTGCTGTGACGTGATTTGTTCCTTGAACTCGATCACATCCACTCTTGCTGGATGTTAGGTGTCGTGACGGCCATGTCATGAAATTGTTTAAACAAATCAAAATATGATTTATTTAGTAGAAGTAGAAGAAGACGGCCATAGCTGAATCACTTAAAGTTTGAAAAATTCAACCTCGAGCTAATGCTTATGTCAGTCGACCAATTAGTGATCATGAAACGAAGCCATATCTCCTCCTCTCCTCGTATATGTTATCTCATGTGGAACCCTCGGGGTTCTGGATGACAGACCTCGATTGCGTTGTCATTGTCGCATCATATTTCGCATCATATTTCGTGGCATCGTTGTCCTAATCGGAGCAGTGACCCGATTTCACGCTGTGACGTCATAGTAGGTCGTCCTAACCGTAAATGCTCCTCCACAGCTGCGTTAAATAGTTCATGATTGTCTCGCTACTGGAGTGGTAACGGTCGACAGTTAGGTTTCGACAGTAAGTAGGTCTAATGCTATGTCGTTCTATATTCTGACTTAGTCTGGTTGTATTGAACTAAACTTAGTTACTAGGCTTTGTAATACTGAGTTTATCTAGCAATATGTGGATAACCAACCTTCCGGTGTTTGACTAGGTGCTTAGTGACCAGTGTTTCCAATACTCTGTTTCTCTAATTATCCGTAGTTAACCAACCTTCCCATTATTAACTAACTACTTGGGAACTTTAGTGTTTCCTCGTGCGGTCAAAGTGACAAGAACTTTAGTCGATTAAGACTAGTTGATTTTCAGAGTAATCCATTCTTTGTAGTATAAATGGCTCATTTCAGCGAGAAGCCCTCGGTGTTCATTTCTTTGTTTACTGTTTGCTAAAACATGGCTGTACATTTGCGCTGATAGAATTAATTTGTGATCTGTGTGATCGCAGTTTCGATGTATTTGTAATTGTCAACTATAGTTATTTAATAAACCTGTGAACCTATTGTCACGTTTTATTTATCATTTTATTCTTATTTGATGACACCCCTGATCATTGGAGGAAGTATCATCTGTTTATTCGTTGCAGTGACACTGACATGTCTGGAGAAGCCTGTATTTTGTCAGATTCGGTTTCAATACGTGTCATATTCTGTGAACTAACTATAATTCAAGTGCATCCATTCACATACAACGTGTTGTGTGATATACGACATTACACCTGTGTCTGTAAAAGCAAACAGAAGCCTTTCATTCAAACTGTCAATCCTAAAACGGCTATATTGTCTTTGAGTTCACATCGAAGACGTTTGATATGTCCATGATTAATTTTTCTTAGGAGACAAATAAGTAGTTTTCACATGGAAGCCATTAAGTTTATAACTGATTTTTTAGGACAAGTTCATGGCAGAAGTGGAATATGCCAGTCAGGCAAAGAAAATTGGGAAAATGTTTTATTTTTCTAACATTGACAATGTAAAAACATATATATCTGACACCAATTGCTATCATAGTTTAGTTTAGTTTACTATGGACTGCACAAAATGGTTAACTTTATCTTTTTTCCGAACATGTGAAGTTACAGGGTAGAATAGGTCTTCAGCAACCCATGCTTGCCGTAAAATGCGACTATGCTTGTCATAAGAGGCGACTAACAGGATTGGGTGGTCAGGCTCGCTGACTTGGTTGATGCATGTCATCGTATCCCTTGGATAATTGATGGATCGTGCTCATGATGTCAATCACTGGATTGTCTGGTGAAGACTCGATCATTTACAGACCGCCGTCATATAGCTGGAATACTGCTGAGTGCGGCGTTAAACTACAAACAAACAAACAAAACTATGTAGGATCAAACATTCCCGTTGATGATATTATGAACAACGCCAAACACCGTCAAGATACAATGACACCAATCAACCAAGTTGCCCAGCCTGACTACCCGATCGATTACTTTCAAACTTTTATGTCTCCTTAAAACCACTACTAAGATTATATTATTTTCATCTATTGTTCCGGTTTTACCCAACGAAACATTACGTTATTGACTTTTAGTCAACTTCCTGGTGAATTTCGAGAATGTTACAATTCAAACAGCAACAATTCAGTTATATTACGGAGTCCTGTCAGTAAGTTATGTTGGACCAAACAATCCAGTTTATGATATTATGAGCAACGTCCCACACTGTCAGGATACAGTGACACGCAATTCACCAAGTTGTCCAGCCTGACAACCTGATCGATTATGTCACGTTTAGCGATAAGTTTCCTTTGACCAACGTTATAACAGCTCCTGTATCGGAACAGGTTGAGTAGAGAAGCAAGACTTATGTCGGAGTATATTTCAGATATGGATAATCATTCCAATTGACTTTGTTCGTTTGTGTATACATAAACATAACACACCGTGATTTATTTAGTATATGTGTGTATATGTTATATCTATTGCAATGCCGATAGAGTTCAGATATACATGAATCGCCTCTCACTCGCACCCTCTTCAACTTGAGACTCGTTAGGAATGCCGGCATTTTAGATCCACACATAACACTAGGTTTTCTGACGGGTTCCTCCCAAATCACCAACACGCCAATTCACCTATGCTTCAATACGTCTACAGGTTTTATGTAGGCGATTGGGCACACTCCTATGTCAAACATGGACTGTCCAGAGATGTCATTAAAACATTTCACAGCAGAAAAGACTACAGAAACGTGACATGTTGTTGTACCAATATTCACCCACTCAACACTTACATGTAATGCGAAGGTAACGTGGTCATTAACGAGATTGAGGTAATGTAATCGTGTGATTAATCCTGTTTTGTTCAAATGAAATTATCTTTATTTATCTATAATTACATTTATGGCATTTCAAAATACGGGGCAGTGTACTCGCGGGCAGATGACCACTGAGTACGCTGATCACTGTGTTGGATAAACGAGACTGATTAATGAGTGATTTCGGTACTTTGTTGCAAAGTAGTTAGTAGTTTGTCGAGGGTTGAGTGGACTGTAGATACTACTTTCTGGTAACACAATAAACCCAGGTTCGTGTTTTAGCTACATTGTGAGTCATGTATTGAGACGTCGTGCCCAGTGTACAGCATGAATATAATGTGTGCAGTTAGTGGAAAACACCACCTGTACGAGCCAGAGAGCCCAGGACCTGTGGGATGGGTTACAGATACATTAGCTGAATGTGGTACAGCAAATGAAGTTCAAGTTTGGAAGGGTTTAGTCATTAGAAGATGTGCCAACAACATTGAGTGAATGAGTGAGTATGGTTTAACACTACTTTTAGCAATATTCATAAGGTGTATCTCCTCCTTCTCCCCCTCAACATAACAAAATACACAACTACCACATATTGGGATACTGTACGGTGCACTGACTGACCGCAGTTTGTTCTTCAACAAGTATTCACATTATCATGAACATCGTCCGCATCAAAAACATCACCAGCATCATGACCATCAACCAACCGTAATTTACATGAATAAAGATTCGATGCTTCATATTTCCAACGTGTACATATACACAGGCATCGACGCCTTATTACGTATTCTAATGGCTCGTCAGCGCATACTCATCAGAGTATATCCCAAATCCATACTCTCACAACTGGAGTGTTCGAGATTTCAACTATGGATACTGTTCCATCTCACGACGTATTATCATGGCTCGCCAGCACAATTTGCAAGCAACGCATAACATCCTGATCATCTTGTGGACAGCCGCAGGTACTACACACATAATTAATAAAAAATATAGATTCAACCAACGTGCACTCCAATCGGCATCATAGATAACCGAACATGTTTAATATAGCCAGTCCGACTGCACCGCACCTGAGAATGAAGTTTCAACTTCCCGCCTTTTCTTATATACCCATTACGAAACCAGGTTACCTCCCTTTGTTGTGCTTTCCGACGTTAAGAGAAAATAATTTCGTTCTAATTCGTCCCTCAAACGAAAAAAATTATATTTCTCCTCCTTCTCCCCCTCAACACAACAAAATACACAACTACCACATATTG